TACGAGGTCACGAAGTCCACTCACCCTCGTCGCCTGCCAAGGCTCGAACGGAAAGACGGCGGACGACCCGATTGACCAACAGGCGCGAAGACCGACCGCCGACCGGCTCCCTGGCCAGCCAAGCACACGGCAGCCTGCCGATTGAGGATCTACGGCTCTCCTGGGAAGGCGTCAGGAACAACGGAGAAAAATCCGTAGCCGGAGAGGACAATGACGATCTGCGTGGGAAAGGAAATTCGAACATGGGGTCTGCATCGAGGGGTCTCCGTCGAAGCGTCCCTCTCGGAGGGTCTCCTACGGGAGGTCTCCGTCGGAGGACTGCGTCGCGGGCCTCCGTCGACGGGTCTCCTTCGAAGGCCTCCCTTCGGATTCGAAGTTCTCTAGAGAGTAATCCTGTTTTTGGAGCAGGCGTGCCAGACAGCTCTGCAGAGTCCAGACATTCCCTGAATATGCGTGATTTCAAGCATATTCTTTTGTCGCCTCTCATCCTTCATGATCCATCGAGAAAGGAAGATATAAGTGCAGTCAGTCGTCAACGACAATTCGGTCGATGGTCAAGCTGGACATCTGATCATCTGACCTTGTCAAACGATGCACCGATCCGGGACTCCATCATCACCCTCGAAAGCCCCACTTTATTCCTTGCTATATTGAACAGCGACACTTCGTGTCACGATCAATATGATCGTTTACGAACCATCTACCGTCTGGTCTTGATGATTGAAAATGGTGGAGGAAACGAATCTCGAGGTTTCTAAAGCTAGCCAGAATAATTGCTTGACTTGCATGAATCAGTATCTAGAGGGCAGCAAGCAGCCGTGATGGTAGAGGGACTCCGTGAGCGATGGTCGGACCTCGAGGAGGGATTCCTCTTCTTTGTCAGCTCCTTCTCCATCTGTTTTCCTCTCCACTTCCATTAAACTCCAACGATCCGTCCGAAAACCGGAGAGCGAAATTGATTATCGGCACGGCAACGATGGTGGTCGCTCGATCTGAGCAGGATAAGGATGAGAGACAGTCTGGCTCGCTATCGGCTCCAGCTAGGATCGGGGGGAAGAATCGAGCGAACTCGAAAATCATTTACTTCTCCTGCGCCGCATCTTGAGAATACAGTTCCCTCCTCTCTGAGTTCCCATCAAAATTCTCCGTCTGCTACCGGAGTTCCGGTGAATCAGATTAGCTTACCGTTTGAATAAGATTCGTGACCCATCAAGTCGGGGAAAAAAATCCATTGCCCAAACTTCATCTGGAACATCGAAAAATAGAGTACACGGGCCTCTGAGGCTGGAGTCGCTCGCGTGAACTGTCGGTGCGGAAGAGAGAAACCTGTGCACAGTGGGGCCAAATCACATTTTAGGTGGACAAAATTATTTTTTCATCTTTTTCGCATGGTAGGCTTGCCTCCATCCGGGAAACGCATGATTACAGCATATATAGCTAACTTTTATTGACGGAATCGACGAAGTCATCGAAACTGCAGCCTCAAATTAGAGATTATCGAATGATTCGCTGGAACCCTCCGAGGCGACCGACCTTTCGGGATCATCGGCAGACTCGATTGGTACGGCCTCTGCTTCCCTTCCGGCTGAGTTCAGCGAAGCGTTTACCTGTGGATCGACTTCCTGGAGGGGGTCGAGTACTCACTATCAAGGGATCCGAGGAAATGAGCAACATGCTCAAGAGATCAGAATGAGTATTTTCTCGGGAATTTTTCCAGGTATTTTCCAATCTATAGCGCCGACAGTTCTTGTTCCGTGCTTCTTGAGCTCCTTCTGTCATCATGCCGACCGAGAGGGGAAGGTATTTGATAACCTGTGGGCTGTGGTCCAGGATTTTACGAACATACGGCGTTGCTGGGTGACACGGATACAGCTCTTGCAGAACTTGCTTCGTATCTTTCACGAACATCTCGATATTCATTCATATGATATTTTCGATATTCACTCCGAATTTCGTACAGAGAGTCCGGAGAATAACACGGAATCAGGCTCTCGTCGAGGTCAGTGATCGCGGAAGTCACACTTGAGTTCTCGTGGGGGCCTCATCCTCGCTTAACAGAAGATAGGTTGAACCAGAACCTACGTATTCAGCATTTCTGATGTCAACTTCGATGATTTTTTTTCGAAAGCCGGGAAAAACCGGGTGACAAATTTTTTTCCTGAGATAGTTCAAGGCCCCATATGTCCCCCAATGAGTCAATTTTCGGGCGGGAAAGGGTGGGAAGTACTTTCCAAGAGTCACCAATTTTGATGAATTTTCGGGCTTGGAGGTGTTCTCTGATTCCTCGGCTCGGCAGGTGCGAAACCAGCTGACGGGGTCCAAACCCGTCTCAAACGCAAGATCCGGACCGGAGGTGTTTCGGGAAAATCCATTGAGCCGCCTCGGAAGTGTATGAGTGTATTCATTTCCGAGCTTTGTCAGGCTTTGTTTGGGAGAAAGAAATATCAGATCGCACCTCCAATTAAATCTTGACCTTGACAGCTCCGCGCTCTCTCCCAATAGCGGTGTATATCGAAAGACCTATGGCTTTCTGACTCCCAGATTTCGGTGAATATTTTAGGCTATCACTGGAGATCGAAATCCGGAGAAGACTTTTGTCCACCAAAAATGTGATTTGGCCCCACTGTGCTGCGACGTTAGACGACGCCGGCGCTTCGAGGAGAATGAGTCTCGCACGAGTTCTGGATTCTGTATTAGAACAGCGTTGGAATTCCACTGCTGAGGCCGCCTTGTCCGGCTCTGTGACAGTGTTCGGGTAGTTCAAAAATAAACCTGAAGCGTTTTTGAACGATCTACATTGCTCCGAAGAAGGAGAGCACAACGCGACCAGCTTCACGTCTGCTCCATTACACCCGAGTTCCGAGCTGCAAAGCAACACCTGCGTGCGCTGCCTTCGGATTGGGATTTTTTAGAAGACCGAGTTTCGCTCTCGGAGAATCACGAGCTGTTGGATCGCGAAGCAGCGCCTATAATTGAAAATCGGAGCTCAAAGTTTGCGGAGCGTTCTCCAGAGAGGGAAAATCGGGCAGGTAACACGAACATGATTTCCTGCGCACACAGGAGCGGCGCACCGGAGAAGACGAGCATTTCCCCGTCTCAGCTAAGCCTCAGGGATGACGATGCCTCGGATGATTCCAGAAAACGCCACCGAACACGATTCGGGTGCGCCGCGCCGTGCACGACCTCCAAGCCTTTCCGCGTGCGAAGCAATCGCTCTCCCAGTTCCATGCGTGCCTAATTCTCACTGGTCGTCGGGTGTTCTCCTTTCCAGCGATGGAACGGGAGCAACCTAGAAAGGAGAAAACTTTGCGGCGTTCCGTGACGACTGAGGCGCACCCGCAAGACATCGATCTCTTTCCTTCACAGTACGAGGAATTTGAAGATAGAATCTCTCTTCTGCTAAGAGACTCGCGCATCTCGTACCGTGCAATCTCTCTAAGAGCAGAAGTGCGTACGAGCGGGCCAGTCGACCTAGAGACGTCAAGTGGAGATTCGCGGGAAGAAACGGATCGTGTCCATGCTGATTAATGCCGACCGCTGCGAACACTCAGCCTCGGAATCGGAGCTCCAGAAGCTGTCTGAAGCAACGCTTTCCAACCGGCTGTGCGTTCCCTGAAGGTTCTTTCGTCGCTTTATCTCTCTTCTACCCACCGAACTTCGGCTCCGCTCAAGGGCCCATATACATATGTAGGTCCGCGCTGTCGTGGGGACCGCAATATCGCCGGCCTCTCTTGGGTGTCATCTCTTGCGTTCGCCCGGAGACTGACTAGAGTGGCTGAATGTTTCCGTCCAATACGATGATGCGCTGAAGCCTCCTCACAACGAAGCGCGGTCAAACGAAAAACTCAGTGATACGAACTCTCTCATATAGCGTCGATGATTAGGCATTCGACACGACGGTGCTTATTTTCACTCCGGCGTGTTTCAGCACAAAGAGCGAAATTTCTGGTTCCCAAGTGATTCGTTGTAATGAGCTTCCTTTGTGGTCAGGAGCCTAGCCTATCGCGGACCCGAGCTCGGTGACGGTCCCTCAGAGCTGAAGCCTCTGGAAGGATCCAGCCCAACTAGTCAACCTTGCATAGCTTCATCGATTATGCTTCCGTGAATCTGCATATTCGAAGCCCGTACGTCGATTGCAATGTGAAACTTCTCGCTGGAGTCGGGCCTCCGGATCGGAATGGAGATCCATCACCGTCTTGTTCCCAATCGACCGGCTTTTGCGTCGTCTCAATCGGAAAAATATTGAGACGAACATCGACATGAACGAGTTCTGATGAAGACATTCAGAAAAAGAAAACTGCTCTAGTTGCCGAATTCTTTTTTTCTAACTGAGATCCGCGAGAACCCGATATCCGTCAGAGTCGTCCGGAAACCTTAAACTCGAGCGCTGAAATTACCGGTTCTCTCAGGATGAATGCGAGCTCTACTGCCTCCGGAGCACGGGAAGGGGAATTGTAGTTTGGATACCTGAGAACAGCACTTCTTTCCTGAGGTCTGCTGCAGGGATAATTGAAAAATGAGGAACTCAATCAGGGAGCGTTTGAATCTCAATTTATTTCGCTCTGCTTCAGAACACGAGCTCCCCCACCGAGGATTCCCGGTCGACAATGTTCCGAGGAAAAATCGATGCTACCATCTAATTCCGAATCAACATGTGAACATACGTCGGTGAGCTCTCCGCATTCCTCAACCTCAAACTATTCGTAGACTATCTACACCCGATAAGCGATGAACAACGATGAATTTGACAGATTGATGGTTGCTCCCTATGCAATCCCAGAAAGGTTTTTGAGCATATCGCCCACCACAACACTCTTTCACCGAAATGCGATTCCCTCAACAAGCAGCACGTGCTTTTCACGTTTCCCTCGCCCGCTTTTGTTGTCAGCGATGCTTCAAGCAACACAAAATGCCTCGGCTAGATATGGATTACAAGAGCTTGTGTGCGCGGACTGTTGTGCTCTGGCGTGTTCGAGTCTCCCATGAGCTCTGAGTGAGAGTTATCTGCTCTGCCTCCTACAGGTGGCTCACCACTTCAATCGAATGTATCGCCAACATTGTCTCTGATCTCAGCTCGGACAACGGCGATTCAACGGCAGCTGTAGGAGGATTACTCCTGTTGTTGTTCATACGATCGCTCTCCGGGTTGGGAACACACCCATTGAGGTGAGTTGATTCAATCGCCCTTCGCCCCTTACAGTGAATTTGTCGATCCGGTTTGCCTAGCATGGCAATCGAACGCTGACGGATTCCGTGATTATCGTATCATTTCCCGCTGACACAAGAGATGCGTGCGCGCGGGCTATCTCCGGCCGAAGTGGTCGATCTACCTCTTCCTAGTGTTGGTGAAGTTCCTCGACTGCCCACTCGGGGAGCCTGACCGGCACAGCCGTCGCCGCCGATGTCGTGGAGGCGAGAATTCTTACGGCCATCTTCCTCTTTGTCGAATTGTTGTTGACGATACGGTTTTCTTTCGAAAACGGTGCGCTACGTGATCGTCGCCTTTACCAGCATGTTTTGTGAGACGCAAAACGCGGCCATCGGATTAATACGCATCACTACCAAGACCGCCTTTTTGAGAATAGTATCGCATGGTCATGGATAGAATCAAGTCCGATCGGTGGGTCGCTCGCGGTTTCACGTAGTTACGCGTAGAGCGGATCCAAACTCAATTCGTTGCGAAGCCGTGGAAATTTTCAGCGAACGTCCTTCGTCGTCAGCATCTGCGAGTTTTTCGTGAGACCCAACCTGTTTTACAATTATTATTCTGCGAGGTTTTCCTCTTTTTCTTCGGCGTCGAATATCCTGAGAAAAAAAGCGCTGGGGGTTTCGTGGAATAGGTAAACGCCGACGCGCAGTCTGCCTCCAGTCCCCAAGGCGCTCGTGACATCGTTCCTGGCCCAGAAAAGCCCCAACGTAGTTTTTGACAGAAAATTCAGATCCCGCTCTTAGTTGGTAGAGAAATTCCACAAATATAGTACCTCAAGTGTTTCCACTACCACATGGGATACTTTTTGTTGATTCGCTCCGCGACGGAAAATTGGCGATGAAGTCACAAACTTCGGCGAGAGAATCAAGTTATCTGAGCAATCTTGAGTCAAGCTTTCTTTTCTTCTCTTTCCCCCTATCTTTATTCGGCGGATCCTGATTCAGTGTGACTGTCGTCGAGAGAGATAGGCAAATTTGTTCGGAGGCATTCAAGCATTTGCGTCGCTCATTGTGTAACTAAATTGCCTAGCAGACCGCTTTGCCGGACCGTCCACGACACCGGCGCTGGGTCGGAGCGCGCGTCGACGAGAGACCGAAAATCAAAAGCACGGCCAGAAGATCGGAATGGGTTCCGAGCCGGACGGTATTGCACAGTCGCGGATGGAATATCATTGTCCGCAAAACCAATATATCGGAATTATGGTAGCGTCTGACTGATTTTTTCGAAAGGCAAGGCCTCATTCCCTTCAGCACAGTTACAGCTGTGGTGTCCGTGTGCCCCCGATCGCGTTCAACTTTTTTTGCAAACATTCGGCTCATCGATGTAGATTGTTCAGGTCTTCATCCAGTCCTTGAATCGACATAGCGGTATGACCTTTCAGCCGCAAATTAGCTTTACTTCTCCGTTTCGAAACTAGTAGTTTTCCACCGAAGAAGATATCGATCAATCATAACCGCGTGAAAATTCTGCCATGATATACATTCATCCATCAACTTCAGAATCCCCAGCAGCGACGAGCTTCTCCTCGCCATCCAGACTGCCCCTGTCCGGGCAGACTATAGCCTTTATTGAATATATATCGTTTATTTGTTTATTCGTCTATCTACCGCCAGAACGTTTCGCTAGTCCCGATCCCTAAGAATGAATCCCACGCAAGAGACCCACGATCAGTGATTGATGGAAATCGGCAGTGGTCTACCATCTTACCACTGCTACGGATCCGGCTACTGGTCATTTCGACAAATACTCGTTCTCAATGCACACATTCAAGGGCAGAAATTCTAACCGAAATCTTACGCGACCGCCGCAACAATCGTGTCGATGTTGCAAATTTCAGCGTTTTCTCCAGGGCTTTCCAGTGCAGCTGGAGTTCCGCTGTCGAATGCTAAGCGCTCTGCCGTGGACGTCGATCGTCGTGGCAGGGTTTCTAGTGGACACTGGTCCACTAAAAGGCTCGTTCGCTTGGTTGGTTCACTGACTGCGGAATCGACTCGCTCTTGAGCCGCTGATCCCAACTAAATGGCTCCGGCATCAACCCGACTGCGGGGAGGCAGCTAACGGAAAACAAATGAGGAGTTTAAGTGCGGGCTCAGAACAATAAAATCATAGCCGTTTTCACAGTCCGGTCGCCGAAAACACCGGGCCCCTGTTGTCTCACTCGGATCGGCGGATCTCTGGGGCCAGAACCACGGAACCGCAAACTGTCGCTGCTGGTTGAATACCGGCCACAAATCGATGCAGGAGTAAAGAGATTCAGGGGATAGGAAGGGCATCGTGGGGGTCGAGTGGTCTTGAATTCGGGGGGACTAGGGCATCACGACACAATGATCTTGACGTCTCCGGAAGACGATGGCGCCTTCGGACCTCACCCGGCTCGCTCGGCGGTCCGGATCCCGCGTTCTCCAACCTCGGTCGTCGAGAGGAGCGGGTGAAAATGAGATTGTTAGGCGGGCTCCCTACGCTGCCGAGCGTGCTAAACCACCCAACAGCTACATGACGCATCGACTGTCAACGTCAAAGACTAGACCCGCTGGAATTATCACTTTGTACTCCTCGACCGACGTCCGTTGAGCGACGACGGGACATCGCCTCCTTAATTGGGCCCCTTTGTGGACTCCATGTATCTCGCGAAAAATAGTCCATGATTCCCAAGGCTATAATTGTGGAATATATCCTTACTGGGAATCAAGAACTATCACGAATAAACATTCAGGGATTATTCCCGGATGAGTTATTTTCGCTCTTCTCGTCTCGAAACTCCCTCAATACGCCTCCGGGCGGAGACACAATTTCGCCAAGCTCATGTTCTCAATGGAGAGTACACAAATATTTCCTGTGACCGTTCGGGTTTACTCAACTCGGTCCTGCACCCCAACGTTATTGATACTAGTTAACCGCAATGTACTGACGCCACGAACTTCGAACACTAATGGTTCGCTAAAGGGCCTAGTCTTGGCTGTCCAAACAACTTTTCGGGGGGAAGAGGGCAGTGGGGTCACGCATTTCAGAAGCGAACTTCTTATAGGGAATCTAATGTGCGTATCGTACATGCACAAGACTCAAACTCCACGGATTCATGCGGGAACTCATGCGGCAAAGATACAGAGTTCCTCCATGACTGCCGAGCACTCCGCTCGGTTCGGTGACTCCGAAGTGAATGGAATAATCCGAAGCGGATGATGAGAATCACCCGGAACTAAAGAGAGCTACTTCATTTCCAGGAAAGCGCAGGGCGTCATGAAGGCGATTATCCCCCTCCTATCATGCTACCTGTCGACCTTGTCGTGTGCTCTCGGTCAGAGTGAAATCTATAATAATCCTCGTGGGAAAGCGGAACGTGAGTGATGCCGGAGCCCGTATCGAGTTCTACATTGTACACGCACGAATAAACAAATCCGCACTGAAGACCGTTGATGAGCGTAGCCGAGTGATTCCAATGGGCAGATTTTGCGTTGTGTTTTTACGTTGTCGCTAATGCAACAGCTGTCTGGCTTTTATGTCTGAAGCCGGCAAGGAGCCGGGGCAGACTCATAATCCCATGCTAGTGGGCATTACCATCGCTTCTTTTAGGGCTGCAGTCATCTCCATATGTGTCGAGTAGCTGACATTGACCACATATTGAATGTGGCGCAGAGCACTGAGGGAGCGGAACTCACGAGCGTATGAGACAACGAGAGGAACACATGGGCAGATAGACAGATAGATAACGAGGGTTGAACACGCGAGGCAAAGGTCGACGTTTTTGCCGCCAGCAGCAGGTGGCGGCGGCGCTGTGTTCCTGGTTGTAGTGCTCCCGCTGCTGGGGCGGCCGTGTCCTCTTTTCCAATATAGACGAAGCAGGGATATCCTCAGGGCATTAATCTGTCGTTTACTCCCCGGATGATCATTCCACAGGGCTCGACTGAACAGCCTACAATGCAATATACGGAGAAGCCAACGGACGTACAGCATGCAATGTGTAGCAGAACGAGAGTGCAAGGCTCCGACGTAGTGGTACAGAGCACATAAAAGCCAATGGCCTCCCTTAGGAGTCCATCGGAGTACGTTAGGCATACGGGCGGAAAAAGAAGGCTGAAAGGGGTCTTGCGCAATTCCTCTCATCTTCCCGCGGTATCATCATATCTATGCTAATGCCGATGGGATGGGCAAAAGTCGACGAGTACGACCGCGTAGGCGGGCGGGCGGGCGGGCGCACGAGCCTCAAGGAGAAACAGCCGAGGATACACGAACGTGCAACCGACCCGCCGACCAACCAGCTAGTCAGTCAGTCGGGCTCGCAGGCGCGCGGACGGGCAACGAGGCGGCGGTCATCAAATTAGCTTTATTTCGACACGTTCATGACACGTTGCCATCAACCGCGTCATCGTCTCCTTCGTGGGCAAGGCGTAATCGGGCCCGAATCAAGCGCGGAAAGACATTCGAGGTGTGCATTCATGCTCCCTAAATTTCTGCTCTTGAACGTAGGCCACATTTCCCAAACAAGTGTTATGACCTTCCGTTGTTTTCTCATTCACTCGGCGTCGCGCTCGCGGTCGAGTGTCGCTGGAGTCAATATGCCCACACAGATTATTCCTCGGTCGGTCGACTATTTATCTTTCTAAATCGGAGCATCGCGACACACTTATCAGTTTCGCGCATCTTGCTTCGTCCGACGGGAGCTACTCGACTTTCACCTTCAGTCCCGTCGGAGCATAAATCGTCTAATTGAGAGTACGAGCCCCCGCTCCAGTCGATCACAGACTCCGACGCGCGGTTCGGGATGAGTAGCGAGGGCAATCCGATGAATTATTGGTGAGCTCGGCTCTTGTCCACGAATTCTTTTGAGAGAAGAATCCAAGGTCAGCAGCGCTTGACCGCATTGTGTGTGACTAGTGATCACCTATCTCACTTCGGGAATTCCGATCAGTTTCGGAATTATTACTTATTTGGACCGATCGAAGGAGAGAGTGACGAGAGGAAGTTTCATCATGCATTTCCCATTAATGTCTCGGGTCTGACACGCTAATCGAGGATTTACCGCATCGTATTTGAAAAATGAGAGATCGCAAATCTCTACCGACACTGTGCCTCGATTTACCGGTGTGAAAAATATCAGGGCAGTTTCCCGATGTTCGCATGGGACGCTTTGTTTTTCTACCATGGTTCAGATAACGATTCGTTCATACCGCTATTGTTCACGAGGAATGTAGCTTTCGTAATGAAGCATTTTCACAGCATACGACTCAAGTGACCGTTACGGTCACACTTGAAACGATGTGGATCCCAAGAACCGTTTGTGGGATTTTAACGAGTCGTCGGAAAAACATGGGAAGCACTGAGAGGCGCGGCGCGGGTACGCGGTTTCCGACCAGGTTAAGCCATATTCTGGCTCCTTCGGATGCGCTCTTTCTCTACCTTGAAATGTTCACATATGTAAATGCATGTGGCTCACAATCAGTCCTCAGTCGGACCCTCATTCCGGAGGAAGCTCGTGAGGTAGAACAAAAGATTCATTCTTTTTATCGGTGAATCCACACTTTATCTGCCGTCAGTCGAAACACTTCATTCAAACAATTGTCGTCGTTTCACAGTTGGCTTGAAAACAATTTGAAGGCTGCTGTGTCAGGACCCGCAATATCATCGCTCACGTTGTCGGGGCTGTCGTCGTGGCCGGTGCTCCTCATGTTCTGTTATGTAACCCGGTTTCCGGGCTAAACACCGAGCCACTGAGCACGCCAGATTCAGAATGACTTTGACCGAATTTCGTATAGAATTGACATCTGTCTGAAACTTAGTTGAGCGGCTCCAAAAGCTCCGATAAGCAACAATACCGCTTGCGATCCCGAAATATTGCCAAACGCGCTCCGTTTCGGAGTGGTAGCACCCGATGTTTTAGATTCGATCTAAGCTCGAGGCCAGGCGTGCCCAATGCGACTCCAGTCCGAAGTCGCATGAGCTCTTCGTATGACATAAGGGCACCTCAGACTATCAACCGGGACGAATCATTTTGGGAGCGCCTGACCAGATGCAGGGAACGGGGAGGAGAGCGTTGGAACCCCGAGCTGAACCGAAGAGGCAGGACAAATACGGAGTTACGTGCAGAGGATTCGCGATTCAAAGAGACCGCTCGACCGGCCGGATGTGGAACACATCCTCTTCCAGCAAGTTGTCGCTTAACAAGGTGGAAAATGATGGAAGAGAGCTGGACGTGGGCTCTGATTGCTTGCCTATCGTCACGACGTGCATAGCCTTCGAATGCCCAAGCCTCACGGAAGCGGCTAAAAACAATTAGCCGTGCTCTTAATAACACAGTTGCGAACTTTCACAATTTCCGTTCCTGGCGTCATTGCCTATGGGCTAGACTACGGATCGAACGCTGAGGATATTCCATCACTACTCTGAGGAGTTCTGGGAATTTTTCTGCAGTTTGAATCAGCTCCCACACCGTTCTCGAACTATCATGTAGTGAGTCGGGCTCGAGTTACTCGTCCCACTGCAAAGCTCCGATCGGATCTGACGCCCATATCCTTCTCTGCTCATCGTCCCTGACTTTACTCAATGCAATCCTATGTATGATAGCTTGTATAAGCTCGTTCGCTTATTGCTGAATGTTTTTCTCAAAAACCCTTGTCCCGATCGCGGAAATACCATGCCCGTGACAATTTGGTTGCGGGGTGACGGATAAAAGATCCGATCAAATCGCTAGAGGAGAACCTGTTCTCCAGTGAATTGCTGCATGGCCGGACGGATTTCCGACGGCTAGTTCCCACCGATTCCACGCACGGCTCCAGCCCTCACATGACCACGTCGGGACAGGAATCTTGTGACAGGGGTTGAGCGGGAAACGAGCTGTTCCAATCGTTTTCATCCAATCCGATGAATGGTGAGCCTGGATATATCTTTCAGATGATCCGGATTTCTGGCGGTCAAACAGCATCGAGGAGCTGACACAACGTCTCCAGTTGAAAATGAATACAAACCAAGCGAAAAATATAATTTTTTTCCTCGGTGATGGTATGGGCGTTTCCACGGTTACCGCTGGTAGGATTTACAAAGGCCAAAAGAAACGGAACAGCGGTGAGGAGAGTGTCTTGGCCATAGACACTTTCCCCTTTACATCGTTAGCCAAGGTAAGGACGGGGACTTTTGGTCTGAGGAACGCTCCTCTCCAGATATTGTATTTTTGGAAGCATCACAGCGTTTCGTTTCTTCCGAGCTCTCGAGCAGCTCGTTTACCAGACCCAAGGTGGGGGATGCCACTCAGGGGAGCACACTTCGCAATCCTGCTCTGATTGTGGTTGATGAAAACCCAGAAATGAATTCTCTAGGTAGTCCCTTGGTTCATTCGTTCAGAACTTCACCGGCTCGATTGCAGACTTACAGTGCCAACACGCAAACAACAGACTCTGCAGCCTCGTCTACGGCCTATTTATGCGGAGTGAAGACGAATAATCACGGGATAGGCGTCACCGCCAACGTGAAGAGCAGCGATTGCGATGGAGCTTCCGACAGGAACAACCAGGTTGACAGTATATTGGCATGGGCTCAGAAAGAGGGCAAATGGACAGGTAAGCTCCCCTCGATAGATCGAAAGTGGGATTTCTGCGTAGTTTCCCGTCCCGTCTAGAAGTTCGATAGCGATCGCCACAGATTCTATTCTTGTACAAACAGGGATCGTCACCAATGATGAAATAGTAGGAGCTTCGCCGGCGGGCGGCTACGCTCATGTGAGCAAGCGAAGTTTCTACAATTCGGTCTCGAAGGGTTGCAAAACCAAAGATATAGCTCGACAACTGGTCGAAGACAAACCAGGCTCGAAACTCCGGGTAAGCGAAACCTCGTCACAACGCGAATGAGACATACTGGATTCGCCAGGTCGGATCAAGGGTAGAAAAATTCGCTCCGATGCCGAAATTACCGCCACAAGCTCCCTCGAGAGACTACTTGCAATCAATTGGAGGCTCCGCGCATGCCGGAGAGAGAGAGTGGGTTCCAGCGTCGCGTCGTTAATGACGCTCTCATTCCAGGTAATAATGGGCGGGGGCAGAAAACATTTCCTCCCGAACGAAATCGCGCCACAGGATGAGTGGAGAACAAAATCCAGCAGTAAGGCCGTTCGCGGTCCTGGTGATCGGACTGACGGTAGAAATCTCGTCGAAGACTGGTTAGATAAACACAGCAAAAATAATCGGACAGCGTCCTACATTTGGAACAAGTCGCAGCTGTATCGTCTCCACGAAGGCGATTATCCAGGAGATTATTTTTTCGGTGAGTACTTTCTTCGACACGTTTTTTCTGTGTATGGTCAAGACGGGATTCTGGACACACCGATTACGGCCATTTGCGGGCGATGTCATCGAACGTCATCCAGTGCGACGATGAAGCAACGCCGCGTACAGGAAGTTCGAATTCTCCTGCCCTAGTAATTATTCGAGCGGGAAATCGTACGAGAGGTACCGCCTGACTCTGGACAGCTAGACGGTCCCGAGAGTCATTCGGGGATTGGCTTCTCTAGATGTTCTAGATCACGACCCCCTCGTCGAGACTGCGCAAGCGATCGATATACTGGAGGTCATTCCTTCCCCAGGACTTTTCGCGGAGGGAAAATTGAAATTTTCCATGGAAAATATCTTCGACAGACAGGACAAGCATAAGAATTCCGTCGAAGATGAACAGCCAACACTCGAGGAAATGACCATCGCCGCCATCAACATTTTACAGAAATCACCTTCAGGTTCGGGAAGTCTTGACTTCGACATCTTCGTTGCATGAGGAGATGACCAGAGGAGGATAATCCTTCATCTGGAGTTCATTTTCCCCTTCTACCCAAGCCGTGAATGAATCTATGTCTCGTCTTAGGATACATTCTCTTCGTTGAGTGTCACAATATCGACACAGCGCATCATGGAAATCTGGCCGGATATGCCCTTGAGGAACTGTATCAACTCGACAAGGCTATTCTTGCGGCTCATAAAATGACTTCGCTGGATGACACTCTGACCATTGTCACGGCTGACCACTCGCATGCATTCACTCTGAACGGGTACTCAGCGCGTGGCACTGACATTTTAGGTGCGTTAAGGACTGAGCGCGATATACCTACACCGGAAATAATTCAAAATCATGCTCCTCTGAATATTGTATATCGAACCAATGATTTACCCTGTTCTTGAATAATTGTCTTCCCAAACGTGTCCGTGACAGGCGATGCGGGTAGAGACAGCAGTTCAAACTCGCTACCGTATAGTATCCTCTCTTACGCCGCCGGACCGGGAGCCTCTGCTGAGGAAGAAACCGACTCGAGACACCGTGAGTATTGATGAGCCTCTGGTCTCGATCAATAATAATCTGTATGATTTCGTTGCCCTTCGAGAAAATGAGGTTTCTTTCCAGGCTCTTTGTACACACACAAGGCTATGGTGTACCTCAGAAGTGGCGTACACGGCGGAGAAGATGTCGCCGTTTACGCTAAGGGACCCTGGGCTCATCTTTTCACTGGATCTCATGAGAACACCTATATTCCGATTGCTCTGGCTTATGCCGCCTGTATAAATCATAAGGGACCCCACTGCAACACCAAGAAACCCTCGAGCCGATTGGTTGTTCTAGAAACTAGCGTAGACAACAGGTCTGTAGCGCGGGAGCGGCGCACCGTAGACACTTTTCCATTGAAATTATTTGTTCTCTCCAGGTTCTTTTCGCGTTCTCGCTCCGAGCGCCGGCCGCGTGTAATTTTTCATGATTTTCCAGAAATCAGACGTTGATCGATCATATCAACGGACGAACCATCGCTCCAGACGTTTTGAAGCCTTCGCGAAGGGTAGTCCGTAAAGTTTTGCGGAGGTCGAACCCATTCGAGCCGAGTTCGCCAAGTGGGAGGGATCACGAGTCATAGAATCTATGATGGATGCTGACACCGATGTGCCTATCAGACCACCATGGGACCTCTGTGAGAGGACTACCCAGTATTTATTTTCCTGAGCTGTAGGATGAACTCAATCAATCGTTTAGCCTCGTGGATCAGCTGGTGAGAAGGCAAAGGATTTGGCTGCCTAGTTTTCGTGATAAATTTCAATGATTCAAGAGGGATCTGGGATCTAATAAGGTCTTAATTGGAACTCTCGCTTTAGTTCTATCAATGTCGTGTACCAGATGAGATTCGGAATCTTTCTCGTACGTACCCGCGAGAAGGCAAAAACCCACCACATGGTGGGACTCACGCTTGTCTTCTCATTGTTTTTGTACATTGTGAACCTAGGATTCTCTTCTAGAAAACGCGACCCTTCGACCTCCGGATGAATGAGATAATCTGTATTTAAGGGTAAAAGCTAATGGGACCCTGACGAGGACTATGTTCAACTCCGAATATGATTCTAGTCTACTGCCCTCTGGTCACATGACGATTCGATGGAACACGACCGGTGAACATAGTTTGTGATCAATAAATTCGTTTCGAGCAAGGGGATGCTGCTGGTGACAACACGACATCCAGAACCCTGCAGGAAAGCGCTCGCTTTCCTCGAGTCCCAGCCGCGAGGAAGCAGCGGTAAGGGAACTCTTCCACGATCGATTCCTAATACTTCAGCGGCAGCATTGGGGGGCTAGGACGTGGAGTGAATTCTGCATTTGGAGAGCAGGAAAAGCGGCTCCGTGTTTTCCCGATCCGAGCGTCGACCGATCCGCGCCTTCAGACATATGACGCGAGTCTCCGACCGATTCAACCCTCTCCGTCACATTCAGTGTGAGAGGGAACGATGTAAGCGGCAAGAAAAAAAATGACGAGGACTAGGTCGGCCCGCTGGATTGCGGGGAATCATTTGCCTTATGCTACAGCGCCAGCGTATTCGTATTTTCAGGATGATGACTTGTATATACACGAATACAACAACGCGCAGAGCTCCGCGTCATCGACTGTACTGGGATACAAGCAAGGCACTTCAGTGGTGTTTCTTGGGAAATAGTTTATTGGAGCTTAGGGAGAGATCAACTCATGGAGATCCTGCACAGTCGATACTTGAACTCGGGTCAACCACGGGGCGGGTAGCCGTGGTGGAAGCCGCCGGGGTAACGTCCGCCATGAGGATAGTTAGGTCTGGGATAATGAGGTCTGTGGTGATCGGGTCTGTGGTAATCGGGTCTGTGGTGATTGGGTCTGTGGAATCCTCCGTGTCCGGGACGTCCCCATTGAGCCTCTACGATTGAGCCGAAAACGGCTAGCACGACAAGTACGATCGGAAGAAGCACATTCATCTGTCGAGAAGAAATGAATCAGAATCGAGACCAATGTTTCGAACGAGATGGCTAATCGAGCTCGCATTGGAGCATTTCTCCGAGCGAGCTTTACTTTTTTGGCTGTACCTGTACCTTTCGTGCTGTTCCCGGGATCAGTGTGAAACATTCTGTTCAAAAAGCGCATCTTATATACGGAACTCCAACCCTTCCCTTTACAGATTTCTTTGATTGCCGGCCAAGATAGGGCCGCAGCGCGTAAAAATTTCCTCACGCGGGCGCTTCAATAATTGGGGTGGAAATCGGAGAGAGGGTTTGACAATACATTCGTCGCTACTTCGCCACGACTAAATGAGCGCACAGCCTTGCAACCAGCTTTTGAGAAGAACAAGGAACATCCAGGGTGCGAAGCCTGCTACATTCGGATATCTTCTGCGAGGCGGAAATCACCCTCTCCATTGCTTGATCACGGGCGGGTGTGTGTGTTTGTGCGTGTATGTCACCGTTATCCGGACTGAATCCAAGCTGGTCTTCCTCGTCCGATCTGGCAGACTTGATTGCAAGAAGCGATCGCCTTCCAGGAACGTTTGTTCCGACATTGTGCGCCCGTGTAACGACTAGCTGAAACGGCCCGTGGCTTTGTCGGAACCCACCTCCCTTGTTCACGGCTACCGATCTGTATTCGAACCGGAGGAATAGCTCAGACATCTGCATGACATCTTTGAACACCCTTGCGGTGTACGCCACGTGACCGAATGTCAATGCTCCCCGGGATAAATGCGACTATAAATGAATGTTCATTCCTTCGCTTAACATGACGTACATATCTCATGACGTTCATTTGACCTCCGACCGAACCTGCTTTTTTTCAATAATAATGAATCATTATTAAGGATTCATGATATAGTCAGCATCAACGAAGGGGTAATGACGAGAACAACTCCACTAGGAATGCATTGTCAAGTTTTCTCGCAAAGTCTCTGTTTTATTGTGTTCCTTGGCGTCAACATGAAATGGGACATAAAGCTAAAAGGTCCTGGGACAAACACCGGGAAGCGCCCCCGACTCATACTGGTGTATCTCAATACTGTTTCCACAGAATTTCAGATCCAGGAGCTCTCATGGCATGGTCCATCCGCCTAAACCCATCCGAAATCTTGATGTCGGCGCATCATATATCGAACACGGCATGGGACCACTTCTATGCTGACGCTCCATATATTACTTTCCCTCTCGAATATTTATCAGCCGGGATCTTGGATGACTTAGAATCTAGCTGAGCAGCTCCATGGCACGGGGATTGTCGGGAGATGGGCAGAGTTTTAGTCTGAAGTCATCCCGCGAGAGGAGCGTCATCGTTCGCGTACGCAACTCGTCCGGAGGAATCTGCTGACTAGCCTTGAAATTGTCCAAAGCCTCGATTTGCGCGGGAGACAGTGTCGAGAACTGGAACGCAAACCGAGAAGAGGAGATTAGGTCATGAGGTCTGTGAGGAGCGCTAACGAGCTGAAGGTCCGGCTGCAGTGTATCGCTTTGAAAACTCGCGACACGTGTCGACTCGGAAAATTTTCAACTTACAACAGTCGTGGATTCTTTCTTCTGGAGATAGTCCTCGCGAGGTCTCAACTTCGGTTGGATTATCCTGACTCTCCGCTGGCTCTTGAACTGTTTGACATCATGGTTTTGGAGAAAGAAGAGCGACGTCATCCTCCCGCATTTTAGGCATTTCAGCTCGGCCGCTGACGTCGCTTCCAGTTTATGGTCAATGCACTCCCGGTGGTATGCATGACCGCAACGGAACACGATAACTTCTTGCACATCGGATGTAGAGAAGCTCTTGATACAGGACGCGCAGCTGGCGACAGGGGCCACCACTGCTCGGTTGGCGAGTTTTTTCAAGTCCATGAGCTTACACGAAACGTCCCCTTGTATCAGGTTATTCGTCGTGGAAAGCATGATCTGCTCGAAATTGTAGGTTTCTATCATAGCTCCGATGAAACGTCGCACCTCCTTAAATTCACTGAGATTGTACACGGGATCGGACATGACTTTGGTGAGGATCGAATGCGGTGTCACATAACCCATCATCGCATTCAGTAGAGAAGAAGTAAGCTCTTTGAGATCGACGCGATCGAAGGAATTTTTCTGAGGCACCATAAGGACATCCAGCAGTCGGAACCACATTGTTTCCCTTTCCTCAATCTGGAACAGAGCGTATCTATTAGAAGAAGAATGCGCAAGGTGCTCCTCCAAGGACAGACGCAAATGGATAGGATGTCTCCGGACGGTAACGAGTAGTGGTTGACTCGGCTCACCTCTAAACTAGCGCAGTTCCTCTGCAGGAAATAAACCACTTTCCCCAAAGTATCCGACACCGCGTCGCAATTCGCCGGGGGCGCAATGCTCTCCAGACTCTCGAGCCAACGCTGAATGCAGTCGCTAACTAGAGACAGATAGCTTTCAAATGCCTCTCGTGTTTCGCCTAATTTCTCTAGCAGAAACGCAGTCGCTTCGTGCACGTCGTGCGACCTGCAGATGACTAGAACCTCGTGCTCACGGAAGTACTCGATACTTTTTAGAAACGCCAGCACCCCATTAGGATCGAACATGCATTTCAGCTCCACGTATTTCTCCTGGATGTCCGGAGACATGGTAACAGTCTCTGCATCTTTGACCGAAATGGCATTCTGACATTCACCCGTGGCTACTTTATAAGCCCCGTCTAGGAAGTGGTACTGCGTCTCAGGCATGCCTTCGAGCTTGGTTAGCATTGTATTGACATGTCGGGGGAGGAGATCTATCACAAGGGCCGCGGTGGCGACGGCGTCCACTTGGATGAACTCCTCGATGACGTTCACCACCTGCGCTTCGAGCTGTTCTTTCTCGTGCGGCTTGGTGTCGGCGCTGTTCAGGATCTGCATCACGTAAGAGAAGCTCTGCACGCGACGCGCAGGATCGTTGAGGTAGCATAGTAGAACTTTATCGAATCGCCGCTGTCTCTCGTAGAGTAGTTCGCAAACTCGATAAAATCTGGCGGGCTCGGCGAGCTCCAGCAACCGGTCCACAGGGATATCTGCGTTAAAAAATGCGTCTAAGAGTCTTCCCTCACATGCATTCAGATAAACGCGAGACAACCCATCGTAGTTTCCGCGGATATCAAATCTTTCAATATTCACGAACCGTTCAAGCCGCCACTGGTCAGAAGTTCCATCATGGCTTGCTGACGCTCCTCCATGCGGCTTTCGTCCTCTACGCTGGTCAGATACTCAACAACCTGCATTAATCGGGAAATGAATCGGAGAGATCTCCATATCGACCCTCGGGAGGACCAGGCCGGGGGCCTTTTCAGGTCACAAGCTCTGGACATCCCTCACCCCCCAGGCGACGAACATCGAACGATCAGGCTTTTCATTATGCAATGTAAGCGAAACCTTACCTGCTCGAACAGCTGCTTATCAACTTGTATTGAGCCTTCCCGCTTGGCCATTTGTCTGGCGAGGAATGTGAAAAGTGCACCCATTTCATGAGTTTCGAACCCCTCCTCGCGAACCATGAGTTGCAAGAGAATGTCTACAATACGCTGCCGATGTTGATTCACCACGAGAAAGGGGCTCGGAGAGCTGTCCGTTTCCTCAAGGCCCTCTGGAACTTAGGAAACGAATTATTTCCTCGGCGGAACTGTCCATCAGTATTCTCCTATCGATCGAGTCTCCGTGGCGCAGCTGCTTACGGTCTTCTGCTGATTCGAATCGTTCGTCTTCGAAAGCCAGTGAAAGTACGTTCAGAAATTCTCGTGCGTTGAAATGCAGAAGAGTCCGGAGACAGTAGAATGGTCCGCGACGACTATGGGGAGGCACTGAGACCGTCAAATACTCGACGATTGCTTCTTTGGTGCGGCGCGCGACGTCTGGCTCCAACTCCCCACAGGGGTAGGCTGCTCCAGCGAGACAACAGCTTATGTAGACGAAAAGTTTGTTGCCGACCTGATAGGACAAAAATTTGATTGTAGATTGCTTCGTGCGAGAACGAAATTATCCCTTCAAACTCCAGCATCTTTCGAACGCTCACCTCGATTTCAGCGTAGTTCGGCTCTCGTTTCTCGTTGAGGGGAGCAGCAACGATATCCACCATTTCTTCGATCGGCCCAGTGTAATCTAACATGGCTTTATTGTGTATGTGTATAATCGCGTCGTACAGTCGGTTCTCTTTGCAGACAGTCATGACCTGCCGAAACAAAATATCCTCCGTTTTGTTCAGAATCGAATCGCTTCAGCGGTCAGGAATTCCCGGAATTCACATTCGCACTCTTCATGTTCCCACCTGATGAATATCGATTGATGTTATTGCCAGCTGGACCAAGGACCTCTCCAGTTCTCCGAATTTGTTTTCACAGCTCAACAGATTGACGAAATCCTTAATTATGACAGGGTTCATTTCCGGGAGGTCACCGCCGCTGATGTAGGGTTGCAAGCCTGCGGTCAATTTTTTTTTAATTGCATCGATGGACTCCGGCATTCAGTTCTCATTACACGCTACAGATGTAAGGCTTCATGTCCCCTCACTTGATAGGAAGACGGTCAATGCCATGGGATCTTGAGCGAAAAGCTCGTACAAAGCGTCGAGGATTTGATACTTCGATGGCAGAATGACCGCATAGTGGATGCATAAGGGCACGTTCTGTGCATAATAAGTCAAGAGGTTGTCGATTTTCTGTCCTTCGCGGCCGACGAGGTACAGGGCGAATTCTTCAATCAAGAGTGCAATCTTCTCGGCGACAAGTGCTTGACTCCTCTCTGTCTTCGGTGTGACTATCTCTATCACCTGCATGAATGAAACATTAGTCGAGGAAGACTAACTTTTCCAACTTTTTCTTTTTTCGAATCATGCTTATTTCGGAATTGGACCCGAGTGTTGATGCCGCCACCGTTACTCACGCGATTGGAACTCGTCGATTCGATTTCATCGTTGTAGTACGAAATAGCGAATCTCAATGCTTCGGAGTACATTTTTTGCTTTGAGAAGAAATTCACTCGGTCCGTCCATGATCGAATCGAATAAATGTGAATCCCACGTCCCCCGAGTATCAGGCACTGACTCCCAAAGGAGACCATTGTATTCGAACACGCGGTCTCCCCGATTACAGCCTGGAAGGGGGCGAGGAAATCGCAAGGCTGCATAGTTAGATTTTCATACGCAGGAGCAAATTCTAGGAACCATGAATTCCGTGAAAGTCGAGCACCCCTGCTGAGGTCCAAGTTTTTGAAACCTGCCATGGCTTTGCTGACGTTCCCGCCGGTGTCTTCTGCTCTGTAGCGACTTCCTTCGTAGACGATGTCGAGTTCCGAACAATCGATAGCTTCAACCTGTTCGTCCAGTCGAGCATCCAAGAAGCGCAATGTTTCTTTCTGATCCAGAATCGCCAGCGTCTTGTAGTTTATGAAGCATATGTTCCGAATAATGTAGGAGACTTGGAGCGTCGGCAGCGGTTCAAATGTGACCTTATTGTTCCCATGGGTATGCACCTGGAATATCGAAGTGAACTTCGCTCTCCGTTCCGAAACATATCCAATCTCTCGATATTCCCTGCCTTCAGCGTATCTGGACGAGTCGATGGAGTCCGGCGGCCACTCACTCGGAAGAGATAAATGATGGACTTCCTCCCAAAGGCCAGAACAGGAGAGCAAACCTTACGAGCACCCTCTTGGAAGAACGAAAACTGCCAAGCGAGCACAGGTATAGTGTCGGTTTCCGCCTGAAAAGAGAAATGAGTTGATCTGCCGATTGAGGGCCCACTTCGGGGAGAGGCTGCACGAGAGGGAATTCTATTGGGAGGAGTTGAGGTTCATCAGTGATCATCTTTACCCTAAGCTGATGCGTGAAGACAACGGTCACCAACGGTTTGAGATGGATGACTATGCATTTGGTGACCGTTCCTAAGGCGACGAGGGAGAGGTTCTCGACGGGATGGCCCCGAAACTTCTTCGGTACACGCAACGGCTCCATAGCGCAAACCTCACCGCGACTTAAGAGGGATATTCCATTTTATAGCCCAGTGTGTCTGTAGCGCTAAAATTAGGTCGGGATCCCATGGAATGCTCATCCACCATAGATGCTCGGATAATAATCACCTTCCGGAGAAGATACATTCGCTTTCGTAAGATCTCGAGGTCAGGAGCTTCTTGAAGGCGATCTCGAAGACAGAGCCTCCCGTGTCCGTGACTACGGCTATCGTTGGATCATCTGTGAACGATAGTAGGAGAACTCCGTGGCCTGGTGAGTGTACCTCGGCTAAGTTTCGGAGAAGCTTCCCATTTGATGTGTCCCACATCGTCATCTGGAGAGAAAGCGCTCCTCAAATCAGAGAGATTCCGTATAGCGGGAAATACGGACTCAAATCGGGTTTTTGAGAAGGGAACTCACATGTCCTTTTGAATGTCCTATGATCACTCGACTCGCATCCGTGTTGAATGATACAGCTGAAACCAAGCCATGCCCGCTCTCCGCGCTGCCTAATTTGCACTTCAGCGTTTGCTCCGAATCTACGACGAGCATCAGAAGGGAACAAAAAGGTCAAAGTCGAGTTAGGAATCTATAGCTTACGAGGTCAGGGATAGGCCACAACGAGATCTTCGGTCCTACCGAAAACTAGGGTAACTCCATTCGAGGTTCCGATAGCGACCAAAGTAGAAACGGCCATGGCTGACGGGGACCCGATTTCGCCAACTTCGAACGCACGTTGGAGCTGCGCCCCTATTTGGCGAAGATGAACGTGACGGACAACGCTGCCCTTCACCTGAAGCAGAGACCAGAATTCGATCAGCGGAGGAGCTCCTCACCAGCCTCATGCGGTACTCGCTGCGATGACATTCGACAGAATCTCAATCTTCTGACCGGCGGTTTGGGTGATCTCCGGAGCCTGGATGCCGATGAGTACGAGCTGATTCCAGATGCTATGGATAAAGTGTCAGAGATCTCATTGAAATTTATCTCCGAGCAGTAAAAAGGTGTCGATCCACTTGCAGCGTCGAAGTCTCCGGAAAAATGTGCTTCATCCTATCGAATAGAGAGAAAGAATATTCGGTCGTATTAATCCACCGCGAGACGAACATATCATTTGCCGGCGGGCAGAGCATTCCGAATTTGATTCTCGATCCAATACTCACCATGTTCTCTGCCTCGGCACCTTGCGGATCACTGCCGCCGAGCTCCTGAAGGGAAAAAAAGGAAGTTCAGGCTGGAATTTCTTGACCCCACTTGATACTCCGAGATGCCTGCTCCGTCGATTCGGGCCCATCTTATTCAGAGTGAAGCTTTCGATGCATGCTGGGAGAGTCTAAATTAGCGATCACTCGCCTCAGAAGAGCGCGAAAGCTTCCTCTGTTCCTCCGGAGAAGACATCGCTACCGACTTCGCGGGGAAGATGATCGATGATCACTCCACTCCACGCAGGAAGGGATCTTCCCCTAATCCGGATCACTGCTGTGTCGCTCTTAGTCTTCTCTGGCTGCTTCTGGGGTCACTGCTCAAATTCACGTCCCCGCTCAACCATCATCACAATCGCGGAACGGTCGGAGCAAAACATACGATCGGTGAATGTAGTGGTGCCAGCAGCAGGCAGCGGTGAACGGAAACACCCCGTCCTGTCAAAGTGTTCTAATCCCAGACCCGCGACGTTTCTCTCGTCTGATTCTAGCTTCAAGATTTTGATCAGCAGTCGGCGCGTGTCCCATCGCCAGGAAAGAAAGTCACTCTGCGGGAAAATTTTCTCTGGACTTCTATCGCCTCAATTTTCTCGTCCTCTGATTCTGCCGAAATTCTCGAACGCTTGAGTTCCTGTGATATTGGCTGGCCCCGCCCCTTCCGTGTTCTCTGCACGGCACTTCGCGCGATCTGACAGCGGGCTCGGAAACCGAAATATAAATCTGGTGAATTGAGGATCCCTTAGCGAAGGCGTTCTATTGTTCTATAGACTCAACGATCATTTTGCAGCGCATGAGTTGGAGGGGAAGCATGTGTTCTGTACTAGAGAGTTCTCGCAAACATCAGGAGAGTAGTCCCTAATACCTGAAACGGTTCCAACCAGGTGTCAATAGAGAAGGCTCCGAAGAGGCCTCACACTCTCCGTAATGGCTCTGTTTCAAAGCAATGCCCAAGAAGAGTGAGGAATGCGGTGAAGCTGGAAGTACAAGCTGCTGCTCTGATTGATCATGATTGAAGCTCCTGGTTGGGTGCAATTCCGAGTTTCCCGAGAAGCTGCGATCGACCAGTCCCGGTTCAACGCTGATGAATGTCGTTCTCGTTGAGATGGAATGCTCGAAACGAGGGCGCTCGCTGTAGCAATAATTAAAAAAAACACCGGGACAGGAGCCAAATCGAGAATTCCTGATTCCTGAGCTCGCGGAAGCCTCCGCCCACAGCCAAGAGAGAGGGGACCGCATCCGAAGCGCTGATTTAAAAACTTTGCAATCGCATCCGACTTCTGTGGCAGTGCGACGAGACTCCTACTCCTTGGTGCGCGGAGATCCTCATGACCTCTGATATCTATTCGCGGATCCTCCGGAACGGCGATGAGCGCTCGGTAACGAGTCAAGGAAATTGAACTGAACTGAGGAGTCGGGCTTTTCGAATTTTCGCGCCGATCTGGCGTCGTCTGCTACAGAAGAGGCCAAGCTTCCTCTTGCTGCCGAAAACATCGTTAGATTCTGAATACGAAAGAACGGCGACGACGCTAAGGGTAGTCACCGGTTTTTGTGAAGTGAGTCATATTGTCGAGGATTCATTCATTGTGTAGTTTCTCTGAGGTTCTTCAAACCATCGGACCGACTGAGGTGAGCCGTCGTTCCGCTGGAATACTTCCCAGGTTTTCGGGTTGGCGCTGTGGCGACCTGTCGACGTTGTGTAATCATCCATGTTCTGAGAGGGGGAAGATATTCGGCGTCTGTTTACTCCAAGTGCTCGCACTGAAGGTTATTCCGGAGGTTTGGGCATCGCAACGGTCACGGAGTGCGTCACGAAAACCGTGCGAGTACAGCGAAACCGCCTCCAAGTCGACCGATCGGTCCAGGCTGGTGTGTCATTGGTGGCATCGCGGACTATTGCCGCCAAAACAAACTGCCTCCATCCGCGGTCGATGCTCGGTTTTCTGAGGAACCAGAGCTCTTCCGAGTGCAAACGATTCTGGAATCAACGTGTGCTGAACGTGATGGCTAGGAACTCGATCAAACCTCCGAATATCCTGGTTTTTGGAGAAGAGGCCGACACCTGGAAAAGCCGAATCGAACGTATCGTGAATACGAATTTATATCTGGTCTATGCTACGTCGAAAACAGAACTCGAATCGGAAGTGTGGGTGGACAATTGCCGTTTGCTGTACCTAGCCGACCTCAAAGAGGACCAATGCTCTCCCAAACTCAAGAACAACATCAGCAACTTCATCAACATCGGCGGATCGGTCGTTGTCAAAAGACCAGCTGCCATCGACGGTGTGGACTTGTCGAAAGTCGAGCTTTTGGAAGATAACAAGGAGGCCAACATCCAAGATGCTTTCGAGAGACTCGGAGTGTCGTGTGAGAACGAAAATAACGCCGTATCCAAAACTGAGGGATATCTCATCTCGGATAAGCGAGTGGACTCATTTTTCAACGGCACTCAGTCTCACGAAGAATTCCGGATTTCTGACGAGCCCATCAACCCAACATTCACCCCGATTCGACTCTCGCGGCCGGAACGACAGAAATTCAACACGGAGGAGTACTTCTTGTTTTTGAAAACGCGGGAAATCGGCCGGACGGTTCTCTACATTGAGAACGCGTCGACGACGATGGTGTCTATCAAAACTATAGATACGGTTCACGGCGCGGTAGCTGTTGCGTCTCGACAGATGACTCCCGTCGCCAGAGGACGGAACTCGTGGATCAGTCCGCCCGGCTGCGCGATGTTCTCCGTTGTATTGCATTTAGCCAAAGGGCAAAAGATCTCAGGGAAATTCTCGTTTCTTCAGCACATAGCCGCTCTCAGTATCGTTCGAGCTATCCGCTCAATCCATCCTCTGTTGGAGGTCTCAATCAAATGGCCAAACGATGTATACTACAAACGAGACGCGAAAATCGGAGGAATTCTCTGCACGTGTACGGTGAATAATAATGGCTACACGTGCTACATCGGCTGCGGAGTGAATATCTCCAACAGCAAACCGATCAAATGCATCCATGAGCTCGCACGAAGCACCGAACTCTCTGTCGAAAGACTGATCGCTTCGATGCTCACGGAACTCGAACGCCTCCTCGATCTGTACGAGCGGGATCCGCAGAAGGTCCTGACGGAGTATCACGCGAATTGGCTTCATTCCGGGGAGGAAGTATTCGTCGAAGCTGTCGGAGAACGCGCGGTGATCCAATCGGTGGACGAACTCGGATTCCTCCTCGCGAAAAAAAACAACGGAGAGCTCATTCGGCTGCAACCGGACGGGAATTCGTTCGATTTGATGAAAGGACTTATCTTCACGAAGTGACCTGATGTTATTATGCTCTCCTTGGGCAATAGAGCTTTATTTTACGGGATGCATCCCGAACTCGAGTCGCAAATATAAGTGTGTCTTCCAAGCTCAATAAATTATCTCGGTTTCTTACCGAAACGACTCTCGCTGCTCCGGCGGACGCCGGTGATTCTCCATCACTCGGGAGGAGGGGAATGTAAGCGATGTGGATCTTGAGTCGGACATTGGACTGCGGGCGAAATGGATTGAGTGTTTCGAGATGTTGGTCTGATGACACCCCTGGGAAGGAGAGCCTTCTCAACCGCGCGAATGATGCTCTCATGAAGAGTCTCTTTGAGCCACGGTTTCGAGTTTCTACGCGGTATTTTTCAATGCCTCTTTTCCCTTCCAGCTGGTGACTCAGAAGTCAGGCAGAGAAGGTCGTCACCATGGCTCCGAAGCGTCGGGCGCCTCACGTTGACGATGAGGACGAAGTCATCACGCCTGTGCGTCTTTCCAAACGACGGAGACAGGGAGCCGAGATCACCGAAGTTCTTCTGGGATTCGCCGACGCAATCAAGGACCTCAGATGCGAGGAAGACGATAGGTTTGTGCCCTCTTCGACTCCATGCATTCTCCACTAGATCTCACATGAGACGTACGCACCCGGGTCTCATGGCGAAGGGTGAACTTGTCAAATTTCGATCGTCCTTCCAGATTTTACATTGATTCCTTCATGCGACTGCCGAAGAAGCGCACCGCGCCGAACTACACCGACGTGATCAAGGATCCGATCGACTTCAGCAGAATTCAACAGAAGATCCGCAGCGATGAGTACAACACGGTGGATGAGTTCGCTCAAGATATCCAGCTGATGGTGGAAAACGCGAAGACCTACTATAAAAAAGACAGTCAAGAATACGCGGATGCCGTCGAAATCTCGAATCATTTCGAGGTCTTGCTGAAAGAAGAACGCAGTGAGAGCGTCGCGCCGTCCGACGGTGACAACGACGAGACAGTTGATCTGAACGATCAGCTGGCCGAGCTGTTCGCGACGGTGGTCAACGCTCAAGACGAGGGCCGCGACGTCGCGGACGTTTTCAAAATTCTTCCGTCGAAGAGAGATTACCCGGACTACTACCAGGTGATCAAGGAACCGATCGATTTGCGAACGATCGCGCAGAACATTCAAGAAGACAATTACTCCTCGCTCTCAGAACTCGAGAAAGACGTTGTACTAATGTGCAAGAATGCCAAAACTTACAACGAGCCCGGTTCGGATATCTATCGCGACGCTGCCTTCATTCAGAAGCTCGTCAAAGGGAGGCGTTTCGAGATCGAAAATCGGAAGGCTGTTCCTTTCAAACGCGGTCGCAAGAGTATCCTGCGAGCCGCTCACGCTTTGGTTGAAGATCTAGCGAATATCGAGGACAGCGATGCCGACGCTGATGAGGAGGACGACAACGATGACGAGCAGGACGTCGAGGACGACGACGAGGGAGACATGGAGGTTGAAGAGGATGACGATGCGAGTCGTCAGGAAATCCTGACCCCGAAAAAACGGGGGAGGAAACCTAAAGTGAAACCGAACTCGGTGGATCACACCACCGTGAAAGAAGAGGACGACGATGACGACGAAGAAGATTCGCTCACGGTCGATGCAAATCTCATTTGGGACCTGATTACCAGTCTACGGATGTATCAGCCACCCGGCGCTTCTTCGAGCGCCAACGTCATGTCGGATCAGTTCATGCGGATCCCGAGCAAGAAAACCTCGCCTGATTACCACGCGGAAATCTCCAAACCCATGTCGTTCCGAAAGGTTGTGACGAATCTCCTGAAGAACAAATACCGTTTCGTGAAGGACGTTGTTGCCGATGTGGAGCTGATTTTCAAGAACGCCAAAGTGTTCAACAGGCCCGACTCGAAAGTGTTCCAAGACGCCGCCACTCTGTTGAGAGTTGTTCATGCGAAGGTGAAAGGACTTCAGGATGCGAACCCAAACGTTCTAGAAATGAAAGTCCCGAGAGCGACCGATGAGGATCACGAACGGCTTGAGCTCGTGATTAAGGGTTGTCGGAAGCAGAGAGCTAACGAACATCCTCTGAAAACGAGACTCAACGCCATCTACAAAGCTCTCATGAATCATGAGGAGGATGGTCGCACGCTGATCGACCCGTTCCTGAAAAAACCCGATCCACAGGAATATCCTGATTATTACGAAGTCATCCACAAACCCATCGATATGCAGCTAATTTACGAACGGATCCGCAACCTTCGTTACCAGAACCCTGAACAGTGCGTGGCAGACTTCCGCCAAATGTTCGAAAACTGTCGAACCTATAACGAGGAAAACTCACAGATCTTCCAAGATGCCAACACCCTCGAGCAGGTATTACAAGCGAGGATCGAAGAGTTGGGACCGTATGTCCCACCCCCCGAGACGCCCACACCAGCCTCCCCGGGGAAGAGATCCGTGCCCAAGCACAAAGCAAGCAAATGCAAGCTGCAGGCTCTTCTGGACAAAATGTCGAATTACATCGACAACAAAGGTCGGAACATAAGTCGAATCTTCAACAAATTACCGTCAAAACAAGATTATCCTGAATACTATGATGTCATCAAGGAACCGATCGACTTGGAGATCATAAAACAGAAACTCGGCAAAAACTCCTACGAAACCCTCGACGACATCCTTCAAGATCTCTTGCTGATGTTCGATAACGCCTGCACCTACAACGAACCTGATTCGCAGCTTTACAAAGACGCCTTGTTGTTGCGTAAAGTAGCGCTTCAGACAAAGTTGGAACTTGGGGCTGCGGACCTCGAGGATGGAGTCCCGGATGTCAAAGGTGTTGTTCAAGAACTCCTAAACAATCTATTCACGTCAACATATAATCATCAGAACGACCGTGGCCGTTGTTATACGGACAGCCTTGTCGAGCTGAGCGAAACACCAGAATTCGTGGCGGCTGCTGAAGAGGAAGGTGCAAAAGTTCTCAACCTAGACCTCATCAAGAGAGCCATGGATCGTGGCTATTATCGCAGGCTAGACATCTTCCAGCAGGACATGTTCACATTTTTCCGTCGTGCTCGGAAGGCTGCCAAAATAGACTCCGCCGTCTGGAAAGATTCGATTGAGCTACAGACGTACTTCATCAAATACCGGGATGAGCTGTGCTCGAACAGATTCGAATCGCCCGCGGCTGCCTACACAGAAAACGATTTAATCGATGAAATCGGTAAGATTCCTCCTGAACCATCTTTTTTTTTCGTTCCTCTCATCTACTTCGATAGATTCGTGCGGGGACCATTCCCCCTTCGTGCGATACCCAATCGTGAAGGGAAAATCTCTAATGGAATCGACTCCGTATTACAGACAAAACCAAAGCGGAAAAGACGGTACTCGATGCGACCGACCATGAGGTGACGAAGGAAATCAAGGTTGAAGCACACGATAACGGAGTACAGCAGATGGAGATCGGTGGAATGAAAGTGTGTGTGGGAGATTACGTGTACGTGCAGCCCCGTGAGAAGGGCATGGAACCGCACGTTACCATGATCGAGAAACTGTACACGGATGAGAAAGGTGTTCAATGGCTCTTCGGGACCTGGTTCTATCGGCCCCACGAGACGTTTCACCTGGCCTCCAGGAAGTTTTACCACAAAGAGGTTTTCCGAAGCGACAGCCACACCAATACTCTGTTGGCTGAGGTCATGGGCAAATGTTACGTCATGTTTGTCCGCGACTTCTTCTCCGAGAGACCGGAGGGCTTCAACGAAAGAGACGTATTCGTATGCGAGTCCAAGTACTTCCCAAAGATGAAGCGATTCCAGAAGATCAAAGTTTGGGCTCAAAACGAAAAAGTCAAATACATTCCTAGAGAAAAACCTTTGGAAGCGATCCGAGTACCGTCCATTTTCCGCAAAAAGGATTCTGAAGACGACGGCAAAGCCGACGATAAAGACAACAGGATCGATGACAAGGAACTTATAATGCCAGCTTTGCCACAACAGGACGAGTATCGTCCCTGCGACAGGGTCATGCCCGTGAGTGTCGTAGACTATCCGACTATCGCTCTCCATTGAGTTGGAATCGCTACCACGAACCGGCGACAGGGATAATAAATTTTTCTCTTCTCCCTCACAGGATGTCATGCTGCCGACCCCGTCAGGAGACGACAACGAGAACACGTATTTCGAGCAAATTACATTTTCCGGTGGGACTTATCGGACCGGTGATTGCGTGTACGTTCGGACAGAAACCACTAACCTGATGGCGCGCATCGAGAAGATGTGGACCGATAAACAGGGTAAAGGTTTCTTCCACGGACCTTGGTTCGTTACACCACAAGAAATCCATAGTTCTGGCGCCGCCCCAGGCCGCCAGTATTTCCGTCAGGAAGTGTTTCTGTCCTCGATCGAAGACACGAACCCCTTGCTAGCGATCACCAGCCGATGTCACGTCATGGATCTCAGCGAGTACATGACCAGTGAGTTTACCGCGCCCGCTCCCTTATCCTCCTCTTCATCAATCGCATTAACTCTAGTAGAGCCGATGACGCTAAAGATGAACTGTTTCAGTTCGTCCCACCGAGCTCACCGAGCAAGATATTTACATTTGTGAGAATACGTACAATGAAAGCGAAAAAGTCATCACGAGACACGAGCACGGCCTCAGGAAAATTCTTCACTCCGACGCGGTGCAAGTTGACGAGATCTACATTCTCAAGCAAGCACCCAAATTAGCTCGAGAAGATTTTCCTTTCGTGACGAAAACACCCGCCGTCGCTCAGAGCGATAACGATGACAGCAACGACTTTTCTCGTGACGAAACCAGCAATCATTCAGTGTCGCTCTCCACGCCACTGTCGTCCAAACAGAAGCCGGCAAATAAAGTCAAACCGATGAGAATCAGTGGTTACATCGTCTACTCTACCGAACGTCGAAAACAGATCCAAATCGAGCATCCAGATTTATCGTTTGGAGATCTTTCGAGACTTTGCGGCCAAGAATGGAAAGATCTCCCCGCCGGCTCCAAAGCCATCTATGAGGAAAAGGCATCTAAACAAAACGAGTTGAACAAAATCAAGCATGCCGAAATGTTCAACGCCAACAACAGCATCGCTTATACGGAACGGTACGTGTCCCGCGCAAACGTTTCCTCCGAGAATTAATCGAGTATGTGGTGAAACGTATTTTAAAACTTTCCCCTTTGTTCCAGAAGCAGTAACGATCTGCTTAAGGTCCATGAATGCCATTGGGATAATTGCGACTATCAGTTCGAGGAACTCGAAGACCTTACCCATCATTTGACCCACGATCCGTCGGGACATGTTCATCAAACATTCATCAAGCTCAACGAGAGCGTGAACTTCCAATGTCGTTGGATGATGTGCAGTCGTGTGAAGAAATGCCAGCCTCCGTTCAACACGATCCCAAAGCTCCTCAAACACGTCAAAGACGTGCATGTAAAAACCTCACAGCGTACGATTCTTCCTGAACAAAAGACGAGGAATTTTTGCACTAGACGACCGCCCGCATCCACGACTCCTCAAGCGCACCCCCATCATTCGAGCAGTCCCCATCATCCGCAGATGATCCAGCCCCAGACTCCAGGTGAGCATTCGATGAAGACCCGCGGTATCTGCCCGCGTGTACCTACAATCGAAATCGAGCGACTGACTTCCACCCAAACAATTGTTCCCCAGTCCTTTCTACTCACTGTCTAATACTAACTCTCCGTCATTCGATTCAGCGGAATTAGAAGTGTGTTCAGAGGTTGTTCATGATTCTAACGGTTGTTGAAATCCTTTCCCGCTCACCTTTGCCGTCCTACAGGTCCCATGCCAGCTCCTGCATCGCCCATGCATGGAATGCCCTACTATTCTCAGGGCGCACCTGGCCAACCCCACCCGGCTACGCCCCACCCTCATGGACATACTTATCATATGGGACATGGCCATGCCTACCCACAGAGTCCCTCCCCTCAATTCACGCCCATGCATAACGGCCAAGCGCATGGTGAGTGTCTTTTCCTTAGGAATGAACATCCCGCTGAGTGTTTCAGAGCTTCCTCAAGAGAAGATAGTCTCACTCTCGGGCGAGTCTGACTACAGTATCCACATTATCTATCTCGAAGTGATCGGCGCTGAATCATAGATTAAAGCCCTCACCTGTCGATTCCTCAGGTCCGTCAATCCAAGTTTCGACAGCTCCTCGACCAGCTGAGCCCATGTTCGTGGCGCCACCTCCGAAACCCCACAAGTTACTCCATACGTACGCCTACATCAAATATATTGAAGGTCTGAACCACGATCAGAAAACGGTTTCGAATTGGGATCAGCAGCTCAAAGCGACCCGGGATAACACGGTCATCCAGAATCCCCATCAGCTTCCGATGCACTGGCTTGCTAACGGAGCAGGGCGTCATGGCAGTACCGTCAACGCGCTGTGGGCTCTGCGGGACTTTATGCTGAAAGACGCACTCAACATCAACCAAATCGAATAGTCACTATGTTGTTACAAAAGTATATCATTATATATTCTTCCATCGACGGATCAGGGGAGGCGAATTCCGAAGGGTGCTATGGAGGTCTTCCGAGGCCGGAAACGAAAGATGAGCTACAACTTGTTTAGAAGCCGATTCCAACAAACCGCTTACGATGCCCAGCGGGAGGATCTGAGGACGCGAACCCGTGAAACTCGGACCTCTCAGAAAAGGCAATCAATCATGCCGTGAGCAGACAGAATATCTATGAGAGTAGGTATAAATAAATGATAAAGGTGAATCGCGGAGACCCTTGATCGAATCAGAGCTTGAGAGTTTATAGATTGGCTGTTACTAGAGAAGTGGTTCAAATAGGGAATCCGGAATCATATAGCTAGAGAATAATGGATATCAATGGTGTACACTTTATCGGTCACTTCAACAATCGGGAGTGCCGATTTCAGATTTACGACAGGTGAGTGTGTGTCCGTGTTCAGATGTATGTGGATCGAAGGATTGTGTATCACATGATGTATATTTCGTTGCGATTCAATAAAGTACGAGTGAAATCTCTCGGAGAAGTCTCCTGTCTCGCCTGACCTGCCTCTCAGAGGGAGGGGGCGGTAGTGAGGGATAAGAAGTATCGGTCAATGCAATCAACAGTGTGATCTATTTCATTCGAAAAAATACGTATATACAAGACTGACAGCTCCGGAGGAACCCATCCGCTCACGGGTCCTTGATTTCATCTGCTTCGAGCTGCTTGAGATGTTTTGTCAAGTCGATCTGCTTCTGGAGGGTTGCTACGTTCTGAATCTGTCGACGATGCTGTCGATCCACATCGCGAATTATGCCCTGCTTCAGCTGATCCCTGAAATAACGTCGATTGCTCAGGTTCGTTCTGCCCGGTTTCCTCACGGATTCCTCGTTTCGCCAATCGAAGAGGCAGGTACGGAATCACAACGAACCTCTCTCTCTCTTGTTGAAGATGTACGTAGAGTACGACCCCTAGCGAGCCGGCGGCGGACGCGGCAAGAACTATTTTCGAAGTGGTGCTCATTCCGAGGACTTTACTGAACGTCGACGAGGAGGATCCCGACCTTGAGTTTCCGTCCGTTTCGTCAGTAGGGAATCCGAAACCGAGGCTAGAATGCGGAGCGAGAGGAAATTCGATCAATCACAACCGTAGCTCCTTCCGAGTCAACAGGCTTTATTAGATAAATAAATAAAAAACAAGCGGATCGGCCGGTTTTCTCTCTCCATAGCTCCATATTGAAAAGCGGTCGAATTAAAGTCCGGGGACCGAGTCCTTCTTCCATTTCTGATCCATCCAGTCGGGTATGTGCTTCTTATTCTCCAGGAACTGCTCCTTCGTGAATGCTTGAGAACCGACGTAATCGGTTGAGCCGTATAATGACCCTCCCAGCCACGAAGCGATGTTCGAACAGCAGGGAGTTGAATGGAACATGAACTTGTCTATGTACAGGTGCTTCTTATACTGAGGTAGCTCAAGCAGGGCCATGAGTTCTTCCTTGAGGCGTCTCCTGAAGCCGGGAATCATGGCTGTGCCTCCGACAATCACGATGTTTTCAGCGAGTACTTTCCGCGAGTCGCGATTACACAACAGCAACGCATCAATTACTTGTGTAGCTACAGATTCCATCTCGTTATCGATTTCGAATAGGCATTCGGGAGCATACTCCCGCAGGGTGCCGGGGATTTCCAACACCTTGTCGCCTTCGAGTGGGTATTGAACGTTCGATGGAGTTGGAAGCTCGAGCTGACGTCCTTCGCAGAAGGCTTCTTCGAACCCTTGCGCTTGGAGATGGCGTTCCCGGGGTGTAACGAAACATGTTCGAACTTTGATGTCTTCCACGATATCTTCATTGGAAAGTATTTCCGGATTCACTTCTCCTAAGAACCGGGTCTGCCCGTCTGGGCATCGAACGCTCCCGAATTTCAACAGGAATTTCTCTAGTCTTCTGTGGATTTCATTCGAGCCGAGTGGTATATCCTTGTAGGCTGCGAGGTTGCATACTCCCTCGATGACGGGCAGTACGGATGTCCACTTGAATCCGACGTCCACCACGAGCGCGGTGTTCAATCGCAGCGTGTAGAGGGTGCAGAGGTGGGAGGGAACGAACACGATCGCCGGCACCTCGAAGTGTTCGTAGAGGACCGTTGCGAGAGTGTCTTTGAATTCGAGCGGAACCATGAGGGACTCGACCACCACCAGGCGACGATCTTTGGGGTTGGTGCATAAATGTTTGTAATAAATAGCGTAAAGAAAATCTTGCAGCAAATGGGGCAACTCGCTTGAGTGGCTGTACGAGTAGATCTCATGGTTGTCCACTTTTGACGGGATAATCGCTCTCGGACTGGGTTCTCTGGCGAAACCGCATTTTGTGTACGCTCTCCCAAGTTCCAAAACCACCGGACATTTATCCGAAGTCAGACTGTACTCCGCGCCGGTGGTGTACTTTGATGTCAGCGAGCTTTGGGATGTCATCTCTGATACCCTGAGGGACTCTTCCCACCGGTTCGTCGACTTTCCACTCGTCGCCTAGCACGAGTGCACGGGATTCACGTCATTCGGCCGGGAACATGGAAACTCACCTCTCAGTATTCCTCCGACTACAAGGCCGCCATGTTGACTCGCCCAATGTCGGCGCCAAATTCAAATCCGCAGATGTCTGTCGAAGAGCCGTGCGCAGGGTAGACAAGAGGTGCCCAGCTCAAGCGAGTTCAGGCCGTTCGGAATTGTCCCAAAATCCGTATCCCAAAGAGCGAGCTGGGACCGGGAATATCGTTGGTTAGGCTGCTCGACGATTTACTCGCAATCGGAAGCGTCCGTCAAGGTGTCCCGTGTTTTAGAGAGTCTTTGGAGGGATCACCGTTTGATGGAATATCGTCTGAATTTCTCACACTCCGGGTCTTGATCCTGGAATGAAGCGCTCTGTGGAAAACGGTGCAACAATACTGTTGTATATCGAGCTGAAGTCCGCGCGGGCACTGGGGACCAACTTCCTAAGGAAAGCAATCCAGAGAGTACCGGTGCTGGCGGAGGCTGAGATTCTCGCAAACATCGCTTCAGAGAATTATTCGACATGGTTCCAGGCTTGAACAGTTCTCGGGGGCTCCCGTATCAATGGTATCGTTTCGGCTGTACATCAGGAATGCTCTCAATATCTGATTCGGGCTGACTACGAATCAACGAGGCTGGTAGAGTTTCGAAACATAACTGCCCTTTATTCATCAAGCAGCACATCTCCCAAAAGTTAAACAACTCCTCCCGGAAACTGGACGACTGAGTGAGCTGATTTATTCCGGGAACATCTACCCTCGACTTGTAATGTCATCTAGTCGCGTGGCCTAATGCATAACGTAACGCGTTTCCTACAATTCTCCACTCACTCCTGTTGTTGTTAGGGCCCCGCATTCGACGGTGCTCGAACCCAGGCGGTGGAGCTACCGGTCATCGATATCACATCATGGTCCAAGGAGAGCCCGCTTCATTTGCGGTCCCTGTATTTCCTACCACTTTTATGAATTCTAGAACTAGAGAAACTCTTTTTACATTGATGCAACGCCTTGCTGAATCTGGATGGCTAAGGTTCATAGCTTGCACGAATTTCGCATCGCGAAGTGATTCGGTGAAGTGTCGGACATCGATTTCGGATGTTTCCGCTTGAAGAACTCTCCCGCGATCCGAAGACAAGGCCCTTCGACGAGGATGTAGAACACGGTAGAGATTGCAAGCGTTATCAACAGATGACCACAGAAGGAGTAAAGCTGAAAATGAGGTATTCACGGAAGAGGTTCACCGGAGCTCAGCTAGAGTTATCGAGACGTCGGGATATACCTCTTGACTCACCTTTTGGTAATGCGAATAATAGATGAGGGTCCTAGCTGTAGCCACTTGGTACAGTATGAGCAGAGGATGAATCAGATACACGAGGTAAGCCAGTTTCCCCAAGATGCCAAAACCTCCCCACGAGAGGAAGGAATTCACGAAACCTGGGAGACGATGAGAAGAAAGATGTTCAAGAGAATGTCGCTCAACTCAGTGCCTCAGGGTCGTGGTTAGGAATATATTCCTGAATGGATGGGGATAAACATGAAATACACAATCTCAAACAATCATCGTTTCGCAAAGCGTGACAGACCTCCGCGACCGCTGACGCAGGCAAATATGAGCCATGCTATTCCGAGGCTCCACACTACTCGATGAGAAGCCGCGTACACTGTCGCTACAGGGAGGGAGGGGAGCTCGTTGTTCCACGGATAGGCAGCGAAGAGCACTGCACTACAACTGACTAACGTTGTAGACCATAGCACGAGCTGCCAGAGCTGTGAAACATACAGCAGACTTGGAACTGCTAATCAAGGAACGCTGTTTGTCAGGCTGAACTTCCGCCGGGGTAATCTGACGGGAGTCGCTCCTCCACAAACCTTGGATATCCTAATGTTACGGTGCTTCCGGATCGCGTAGCCAAGCAGGATACCGATGCTGAAGGGCCCGACATGATTGAAGGGCTTTTGGTAAATTTTAGAGCAAATTTCCACCAGGAGACTGCGGTGAGAAACGGAGCAATTTTTAGTCGACTAACGTGCACAGAAGGGTCACTGTTGCGAAGCAATTTACAGGGCGTGAAGTCATCAAGCAACTTACTTGAGATCAGGGAAAAATATCATTCCCGGAGGCAGATTATACAGAAAAGTCAAGCCTGCTGTTATCAGCGACCCCGACAATATGAACAATAGATTCACACCGAGACCACTGCTGAATGATCTGGAAAGGAATTCGCTCCGACAATTTCGATCGATTGCGAACCCGTGAAGATTCTCCGCTGAAACTCATCGTCAGATATGGGAAAATTGAAGGCAGCCCTACCGGTACAACGGTATGATGAGCAGGGGTGAAAGAAGCACTAGCTGGAAAGCACACGCGAGGTACCACGTAGCAACCAGGCACTGCAAGAGACACATTAAGAATCGAAAAATTGCAATCGACCTAAAGCAAATGGTTTAGCGAAAGTGGGGTGTGTCGCGCGGGAAGTACGATAATGATAATTGAATCTGGGGCTGCTCCTAAGAGATATCACTGTCGCTTCCGGAATCGAGACGCGTCGGAGCGATGACGCGATGTCGCCGCAGCCGGACAGTCAGAGATGTGGAGGAAACAGGAAGGGCAATTGATTGGGAGTCGCGCTCACGAAATCATCATGGAGTCGGGAACCTTACGGAACGCACCATCTCCTGGTTGTTGAAGACATTATTCACAAAGATCAGATTGCTCCACCATTTCTCCTTGCAGAGTGTGATTTCGACCGACATGATGTCGGTCCAGAAAGGGCCCGATCCGAAGTGCGGCATAAGGAATAGCAGACTCATTGTGACCAATAGGCCCGGGAGCATTCTGAAAAGTCCTTCGATGATTTTCTTTCCCTCATACAGGACGTGTTTGATATCGCACAGTTTCGGTGCAAGTATCCCACGGAATCGGAGGGTCCCATACCGCCAATACTTGTTGAGCACGAAGGGCACAATCCTCATTCCGCCCGTCTCTTCAAACTCCTTCCATTGAGAATACATGATGAGTAAACCGCTACATGATTTGGAGTGAAGAAAAATCAGTGAGTGAATCTCAAAGCGGGCAGGCTTTGACAGTCAGAGCCGGGCATCGGGCGCTTTTACGCCGGAATCCTCAGCCTATATGAAAACTCCGAGACGGTTCTCGGTGAGGAGTGTCGGGGCCGGAAAATGTCCTCCCACTCGAACAGGTTGCCTGACTGACGGCACAGCCCTCATTATAGGAAAAAGTATTGATAATGCATGATGCATGATGCTTCGAATCTGACCTCAAGAGGAAGAATGAATCCACGCTGAGTGTAAAATTCAGAATTCCGGCGAGCAGGATATTGCCCGTTAGCATCTCATGTCCATTCAGAATTGATCCTGTCCGGGCGATAATCACAATGAGTCGGTCATCGTGTTCTCAAATGTAGGAGCTTCTGTCGTGAACGAGACGCTACTCACGGAAAGGTTGGACGTTCTCCACGAAGAAATAAGTATGCCCGAACATCACCCACAACATAGAAATTGATCTGATGCCGTCCAGGACAGCTAAATTCGAGCTGCTCATCTTCTTGCTCCCCAAGAGATCGGCCATATTCTCCTGAAGGCTGAAGCATGTCACAAAACGTACCAAGCCCGAATCTGAAAGATACCCTCGAGTGAAGTTATGCACTGAGGAGGCTATCGCATCCTCTTCCATGGATCCGTACAATCCTTCGTCGAAAGCGCCCCTGCTGGGGAGCCCCTCCAAACCTTTGCTCTTGCCATCTAAAGAGAGTTTCAAGTTTTCCGAGGACACGTCGATGGCACAGCATTCGTCCATAATTGTCCCCAGGACTACTAGTAAGGTCAGCACTGTGATGATTGCTCTGGAAATGGACCGTAACTCATCATCACTCGTCCCGAAAGACAGGATGGGCAAAACCAATCGGACGTTGATGATCCATCATTCCGATGCAGAGGTCCTACCGAAGACCATGAAAAATGCCTACATGATGAGTGTCTGCAAATCCGTGAAGGGAACATCCTCCTGAACTTCGCAACGAGTCACGCTGCCTTGGAAGTCGACGTCTTTCAGCAAATGCTGCAGAATCTGTCCGAAACCAATGCCAGGTATGAGTCCGGGAGCTTCCCCTCGGAGCCGACTTCTCTCGTGGGAGATCAGCTGGACTTGTTCATCGAATTTACCTTGTCGATATCTTCTCTGGAGCAGACTGATGGGACACAGATCCCAGCACGATAAGCCACGTGAGTCCCGGGGATGCGGAAAGTTTTCCTGGCGATCTGCGGAGAGCCCTATCGTTACGCTTTTCTCTAGCTGTTCGTTCGACGCTTTCCTCGACGCGGGATCGATTCGAACTAGACCGATCATCCCGGTCAAAATGCACATCGATGACAGGACTGGACCTTTTCGCTGTTCAGGTAGGGACCTAGCGTCTCTATCGCGTGACTTTGGTTGTGGAAAATTTTGAGGAAGTCGAAGTTGGGGGCAAGTTGTAGGCTGCAGTACGACCCCACAAATTGCTTTTCGGGCTCCTCGTCGTGCTCTCTTTCCACGTCCTTCCAAACCACGGTCGAGAGACACTCGTCGTATGCACCCAGGAAAGTGAGAGTTCCTTCGATCAGACCTTCAGGCGGTTTAGCCGATGCGTCGGCCACTGAAAATGGGATGGAATGGTGAGCTGAGAAGACCAAGGCTAGTGAACAGACGCTTTTTCTCTCGTGAAATACTGCGACAGGCCTGAAGTATTGAGGAATTAGAGTAACTCTTGTCCCCAGGCGTAATCCCTCACTGAGTTCTCCCTCAGTTCGGCTTCGAAGAAAGCTGAGGTCATGCCCCCACTTCCCCGGTCGACCATCGTGTTTCATGTTCTGTCGCCACACATCACAAACTCAAGGTGTACCTCCGCTGCGGATTCCGGCGTGAAAATTTAGACCGAATACTGAATGGCTGATCGTTCCTCACTGCAGCCTGCTCTTCTGGCTTCTCGAAACCGGCGATTTGATCAATAGCCAGGCCATTCGTCGGGAAGGATTGCCATTCGGAACGTTTCGGATAGCTCCGCCTCATGATGAGCTAGTTCGAGCCTGCATATGCGATCTTAGACTCGCACCTGTTTAATCGGATCGATTGGTCTTTTCGAACTTCAGCAGCACCCTTACTTAGTGGCCGTGAGATGACGGCGATTCTCGGAACGTCGAAACCCAGCCGACGATCGTATCGTGCCCAGATTCGGTTCGATCCCTCAACTAGCTCACACTTATGAATGTAGGAATGACGTGGGAGGAATCGATGACGACGACGATTTTTTGCGAATACCGCAATATTTGCGGCACGCTTTCGCTTCTCAGAAAAGAGCCGGCGAGCGAACATTGACAGCAACGGAATGAGCACCAAGGTCAGCTGAAGCCGTTCCTCCCCGAAAAACGATCGACCTTCCCTCACGTGAAGGATCGACACGTGACCCGAGAACGGTAACGACGAGCCATAATGCTCTCATGGGACCGCGACACGCATGGCCCACAATCATTAATCGAGTCCACATATGAACGACACGCATGCCCATAAACGACCTTTTTCGAGGAACGTCATGATGCCGAATCGTCTTAGATACGCTCAAGTAGTAAGGACGCCGAAGTAATTCCGCTCGAGCCGCGGCGGCGGTGATAACAGTGCCACGTGTTCAGTTCCTCGCCGTTCCTTCGGAACTGACGCCCGACCAGCCGTTGGTCCAGGCGATCGGCAGCCTGGCCGTACGATCGGCTTTCGCGAGCGCAAAATCCACCACAAAGTGTTTACAATAATGCCTCTACTGATGGACGTTCCGCCCGCTGCCCGCTGTACCGAAGAATGGATCGAGCGATGCGATAAATAGGTCCCGCTGCCGCTGTTCCCGCTGCTGTCGGTGTCGCCGGACCGAATTCTATCTGTTCGCCACAGACGTCGGGAACGGCCGCAGTCGCTCCGAAAATGACGAAGATTGTTCAGGGAGAAAAACTGATGGAATACAAAAGACGGATCGCCGTCCCGTCAACCACACGAGTGAGATGACAAATCCGTAAATCATCGATACTCGATCTTTTTGTGTAGGCGCTCCCCGAAAACGGCGTATCGACGACAGCTCTTTCATCCGGCGGTTCCCGTTAGTAGTTCTACAGCTCTGACCGAGAATCGTGTCTCTAAGGAGCAGGAAGAACGTCCCCTCGAGGTCGTCGAAATATTACCCGTGCTTCGAAGCGATACTAGGTGGAAATAGACAAGTTCCCCCCGTCCGCTTGAGATAGTGAGCGACTGAGTGAGTCCGGAACGCGATTCCTGAAAACGGAAGAGTTTTTCGGCTCGACTGCAGAACTCCATCCCGACTTATCGCGCCGTAATGGCCTGGAAACTACCAGGCTGACTTATCTACAGTTAGATTCCGTTCCCCAATCGCCGTGTTCCAATCTAGGTCGAGCTTCCGACAAAATTCAAAGACTTCGGCGTCAAGCTGACCATACACGAGATAAGCTTGAAATGCACGAAGGAGAGGATGACTCCAGGCAATCTTGGGACATTACGAATCAGATTTTTGTGTGAGATTGAGCAAAATTCGCCGACAAACTGTATGAGTAAATCTTCGTCAAGAGGCCTATCATTTGCATCCCATGAGAGTGTGTCACTGGAATGACAGCGTATCTCCCGCTTTGTGCATTGACAGTCGCTGGGCACTGATGCAACAACCCACCAATTGAGTTGAATTCGGAGCCACATTTAGTAAGTCAACCTTCATCCGATTGCAGCTCGTTGTCCTCTCTGCGACGAAACATAAGGAGACCCATCGGAAATTGAACGTCTCTCGACGAGTTCCATCCCATGAGCGCGGCTCTACCTCTGAACGATGAGCGGGCAGCGGCTGGGACCGCGGGGATTGCTGTTCATCACTTGCTGACTTGAGTACTCGAATGGGTGACCTTCATCGAGAGGCGAAACACGGAGTATAATGATCGAATGAGGGGTGTTTTCCCGTGCGAGGGATTCGAAACGGGGCTGGTACATCGGAGTCTCGTTCCTGTCAACGCTCCCCCTGCGGTGCCAGACGGTTCCGCATCCACGCGTCGTTCCGAACCTGTCGCGATTTTTCTCAATACAAGTCGTCGGTTGTCGTTCATCCTCGCAAGACATCCACGGCGAAGAGTAAAATTTCTAAGCTTCGCACCGACTGACTCCATCCCCGCCCTCCGTTCGACCGCTCCAGTGGCTGAGCGGGAGCATTTTACTCGGGAGCAACAATGATTTCATGCTCTCAAGTGATTTTCGATGTGTCTAATGCGAGGGGACCGTCCAGCGGCTGCGCTCCTTGATTGCGGCTCAGAGATAGCTCAATTAGCAGCGACTCACAGAATATACCCCCTGCAGTGATTAGCATCACACAGCCGCACCCTCCGAACGAAATTTTTTAGGTACTTTTGGATTGAAACTAATGGCCGCAGTCACCTAGAGCCAGCGGATAGAATTCTCGTCGAAAAGCGGATCCGCTCCTTGCTCTTGGCTCGTGGGAGTTCTCGTCGTGTCGGCGACGGCGAAAAGCTCTAAATAAGCGGCGCTTGCGGGAAGCGATGAAGGGTCCTATCAAGGAACAGATCTTATCTGAAAATAGTAAATATTATGCTTCGGAAGGAACCGAATGTCGTAAAAGCTGCATCGAAGGCGGAACCTCAGCGGGGTTCGTTTGCATGACCCTCTATGCCTCGATTAGGGTACTCGGCGGGGCGATTCTGGGTGTTTCTCGGAACCATCAGGCTCGTCGGCGAGCGAGCTCGTTCGAGAGGAGAGGAGGAGGCAAACTCATGAACCCTCTTGTATGTGGCGACCGCAAAGTTTCCTACGACCCCTTCGCACATCACCAACCTCTGACTTCAACGAGCACTCCTTCCAATTGGAGCCAAAAGTCATTATAGACTTCGTCATCAATAATTACGAAGTCGCTGTGTTGTCGCAGTCGTGAAATCGCCGTCCGGAGCAGCGAATTGCATGCCTCGAGTTGTGTTCTACCGTGGTTTCACTCAGCGCACTCGTGAGCGTTTTCGACTGCTAATGGAATCGTGGGTCCGTTGTCATTTGTGAGGCGCTGGGTTTTCTCAGGGAACTGATTGCGGAGCTCTCGTTAGCTACGTGATTGATGATCGCAGTCGTGCGCGTTGACACCTCCGGAATCAATGCGCATGCTATGCTCGGAAATTCGTAAAGATTTGTGATGAACCACAGGCTCTTGAGAGAATCGATCAGTCGCAGCCGGACGCAATTGAAACTTATTTCCACCCTATCACGAAGCTCCGAATCGGTTCCGCGTGAGAGATCGGCAGACTCAACAGAAAAATAGGCGATCGTGCAGATTGTCAATGAACCCGTTGCTCATACAGAAGTTGATCCATCCACGGCGGGGGTGAGGGATGTATTCGCCCGAGGCGAGACACGTGTCACTCCTCGTCAAGGATTCCGTGAGCACCAGTGTTCATGATCTACGGGCTGTTGGTGCTGCCCGCCGCTTTGACTTCAATTGACCACTAGTGTTAGAAACTTTTAGGCAACTCCCTCCCCCACAGATTATTCGTGTAGCCCGCAGTCGTTGAGGTTGGGGCAACTGAGCCCATTTCACAGCTTTCACCAACTCTCCATGGTTCCGATTTCGGCAGTATCTGTTCTGGGTAGGCGAAGCGTGTCAAGAAGCCGAGATTCGGTACAGGAGACACAATGACGCGCGCAGATCTGAGCCGGAAGCATGGAGCCCGCGAATGAATTTCGTAGAAATACTCATCATTACTTTCGAAGCTCCGGAAATAGAAGTCAGATTACGGATGAAGGGTTTCGATCTGAACGATGGGGTTTGCGGTGGATGTAAGAAAAACCTCATCCGATCCCAGCTCGCCTGGATTCTCGCTGAGGCTATTCTACAGACAATCGATTATTGCCAATCACAGCGGCGATGACCAATGCTTCGCCTTCGATTTTTACCGAAGCATTCTGTCCCCGGGGAACCCCATGTCTTTTGAAGTCAACGTATGTTCCGGTCCCGACCCATAGGGGGTCGACTCAGCGCCAGAATCCCTCCTTCACCCGGGAAGTGAGCTCGAGGAGCCTGAATGATAGCCGAAGCTCCCTTACTCCGTGAGTTCCTACTGGTAGTAGAATTGCTCGCGATTTCCAACAATAGAAAGGCAATTCTAATCGGAACAAGTGCACGACATGCCCCTATCTTCTGAGGGATCACCATGTCCGATGACAAGCAAACCCGCAACATCGCAGCCACTATCGATCGTTGCCAAGATAAAAACCATTCCCAATGTTAAGCGGAAGACCCGGATAGCGTGAGGTCGTCATATCAGAAGTGCTAACCAGCGCGAGGAGAGCCGCTCGCAATCGAATTGAGAAGTCTATACGATCAGAATTTTCATACCACATCGAAGTCCCATTTGATGGAAGAGAGCCAATCGGGGGAATTCAAGGCGTCACTGCAGAGCATGAAGATCGGTGCGTTATCATCCGTTTATTGTGATGTAACGATCTCGCGATCTGAGGGATGCGGAGGCGAAACGTGTCCTTCCAATAATTCCATGTTTGCAAAGTTGGTGCGAACTGTGCCACCCCAATGTAGCGTCTGGCAATTAGTAGACAAGCGGCTCTTTGACGAGAACCTGGAAGTTTCGGATCCACCGCGTATGGTAGCTGTCACGCGCGACGCTTGTCGTCGCCATCGGTGTCGCTGCATCGGAATTATCGTGGTCCCTTCATCCGAAGAGACCTCTTCCACGAATGCCAGTGTGCGCATCCCGAACTTTGAGTTACCTCCTCTCTCCCATCGAAATTTTCCTCCATGACGTTTCCAAGCGTCAGAGGTACGGAGTGTGCGTCTGGAGATCTCAGAACTCACGTTTGAGAGGGCGATAAATTGAGTGACTCCTGGGGGGCCGCATCTGAGCTCTCATGAATGGAGCATCTCCTGTTTGTCCACTTGTTCCCCTCAGAAGTTCCTCGGTCAAACAGTCTGGCTCGATGCGTTCACAAAAGGCGCTGGGTTATAGACCGAAAAATCCACCCGAGACTCGGCGATCTCGAGACCTAGAAGAATTCCATGTTGTAGAGTCCTGGAGCACCAGTGATCGGTAACGATTCCCCAATCCGGTTCTTTGGAGTGAACTGTCAGACCCATCGGGCGGGAGGGTTCTGGAGAAACTATTCTTCCACGAGATAGCGAGCGTTCGTGAGGAATCGATGCTCTTTTCAATTTCGGTCGAATTTCGTATTCAGCGTACAAAGAAGCGAAAGCTTTCCGTCGAACCGCCTTAAGAACATTAATCCGATGCCAGCGAGATGGTCGGCCCTGCTGGGAAACAAAAGATCAATGATGATGAAATCCGGATGGATTGTGAGCTTCCATCGCTTATCCCACGACGCCCGAAGCGGGAGGTCCCGCCGTTTCGGTTCTAGCAGAGGGTCAAGCGCTGAGGGACTCGAGCTGCGTTTTCGACTGCGCAGGCCTCGCCTGCATCCGCGAGCATCGATCGCTTCTGTGAATTCCAGCGCTTCATTTAGTGCGCACGAGCAAGACGTGAAATTCCACGAAGTCTGAAAGGCTGACGACGGACACGTGCATAGGTCTGGACGAATGTAGAAAACTGTTCCGAATAGACAAGCCGTTCGCTGTGGCGTCGACTAACCGTCCTAGAGACTTCATCGCGGCTCCCGGAATGGTCAAGGGGCAGATGAGGCGTCAGGGATGCAAACGATGCCCCCATATCGTTATTCAGGATTCCCGCGAAAACGAATTAATGTGACTCAGTCGGGACTAATTGCTTCATACGATCACGCCAGCCGTCCTCCTAATGAAGATCGAGTCGGATCCGAAGAGCCGTCATATTTCAATAAGAGCTGGTTGGAAGCGGGAGGAGGAAGCTTATGCTATCCCTGAACACTGACTGATTGAGGGTAGAAAGCCAGCGATTGAGGTCCATGGATTTTTCGATTTAGATCGATACAGTCGTATTGGGAATGTGTGTAAGGTGGGAGCGGAACTTCAGACTTGCTTAGGCCTGCGTCGAGTCGATTAGAATGGTTTCCGCGCAATGGTGTAGACCCGGTCTGAATGAAAGTTCCGACGACGACAGTATCGGCACGAAGGTCGCCTGTTACCAAGTGCGAGGAGACGTTCCTTTTCACACGTTCCGACTCGAATATTTTTTTCTGTGCGAACAAGCTTCAAGCAGCGATTAGGTGAGGATTGGCGTCTCCGCCGCTTGCTTCGATGGTAAATCCTTGATCTCGAGCAGGTTCGCTGCTCATGAATTGTTAAGAATTCGTTCCATTGCTCGGAGGCGTCGGCACTCGAACGCTTTCGGATTACGAGTCTCGATTCGCTTTCCGTTCTATTGTTAACTTTGAAGTACGTGGTTCTGACAGTTAGAGAATCAGTTGAACAACCCCGGCGCGAAACGGGAAGAAATTCCGTAACACCGAAACACTGCGCGAACATAGTCCTTCCGCTGCCGTCGATCGCAGAGATATAACAATTGCTCTGTCCGAGCTCTTCTATCTTTTATGACAGCGCTTCGCATGACGTGAGTATCAGCGAAAGGCACTGACGGAAATCTGGGTTCCGGAGCTCTGCTGAGCTCCACGCGAGCGTCGACAGAACAGATCCGAATGCATACAGTGGGGTTCCATGACAGCGGGCCCAGAGGAACTGGCAAAAGCGTCCGCTTTGAGCCAGAATCGGCTATTACAGCGTGATAGACTGCGAAGGCTGAGCGCTAGAAATTCAGTACAAGAAAAACCCGTGTAGAACCGTTCGGTAGCCGGCCCGAGGTGCCAGAGTGTCGCTCGCCGGATGCGAGGGTTAGCGCACGTGCCGGTGCTTACGGTTTCCCTTTCATGAAATTTCCGTCGCCATAATCACGAATGATCTAGCGCGGTCAGTTCCGATCGACGGTACCTAGTTGTTGATATGAAATCCTCGTACATTTTCACTGCGAAGGTTGCAAAGAGCCGATAGTGAAACGGCCCGCAGATAAGACCAGCGGCGGTGGATATTCAAAAACTTTTTCTTGATTCCGACCTTGCAGGGCTTGCCGAAGGAAATACTCCCGAGTATATCACTAGCAGATAAATGTCCCATCATCACCTTATCACTCTAATGAGTTGATTGCCTTGCAAGGCGCCCCATTTTCGATAGAGCGCTATGATGGGAAAAATCACGCTGCTTCGGAGCACTTCGATGCAGCCTTTGATACCGTGCAGCTATTCAGCCATTTCATTCAGACTCCGACGGCCAACAAGGACAGAAAGGGAAGAACATTTCACACGTCTCGATCACCAGCCCCTCGTCTCATTCGAGCGGAGCTCGAGATTGACAGGATCGAAGGGTGATACACTCATCCTGAGCAAAACGACTCTCTCGTTCGCCGCTGCTGCCGTCGAAACCGTCGTTCCATCATCAGTGAAAGAAGAAGAATTGTCACCGGGCCATATCGGAAATACCTCACTTTCGTTAAATGTTTTCGCATGTTACGACCCGCAGATGGGAAGTGTGTCCCAGAGTGTTATCCTTGGGATTGATCGATGTCATCTAAAAAATATCGGGACTTGCAAGCTCAAATAATGACGAGTGGTCGGAGTGATTTGACAAAAATCCGCATCGGCGCTAATGTCCCCGCTGCCCTCCCGACCGTTTTGTGGCCAGCTCACATGTAGGCTTCCTAACAACTCATGCTTCCTTCGTCCACCGATGAGAGTTCCGCATAAATGTGTTTGTTCTTCCATACGGATTACAGAACCGAAATATGGAAACGGCGCAGCTCCGACGGATCTGATCACTGTTTCTTTCCCTTCTATGAAGCGGAAATATTCTCGGATGTCGATTCACTGTTGGCTTGTCGGTTTGTCAGCAGAGGGAGAGCGCCAGCCACAATTCTATGATATTCCGTATGTTTTTTGTATATCTGATTCGAATCCTGTGACAGCTAGCGAAATGTGAGACAAAATCGCGAGAAAGATTACGCAGCTCAGAACGCGGTGGAGAAAATTATGACGTTGTAGAATACGCAGCCGGATAAACTTATGACAGCGACAGCTGCGCCCTTGCCCGAATTACGTCAAGCGGAACGGCCGCGAGTATATGTTGTAAAACTTGTCTCGTAGCAAAACCTTCTCGAGCCATCTCCTACGGCCATTTCGTCCGATGAATTTATGATCTGTCACCGCGTCTTAAGGAGAATCATAAATTCTCATCACAGCTCTATGGTGATGTTCTGCCGATGCGCGACCGCAGCGTCGACGCATGTATCGCTAGAAGACGCTCCATCGCAAATCCCGATTGATGAGAGCGTCTGCGCCGAGTCAAAGCGTTCCGTACTCCCCTGCAGATCGACGGACGCCGACCACGCAGTCAGCGCTCATCGGTTTGAGATCCGTTCCTCTCGGTCCGCATGCTGTCATCGACTCTGGTCTCCTACCCTGGGTGGAGGCTGGTCATTGACTCATCTATTCCAATCATTAAGCGAAAGATCGAGTGTCCAGGTGAACGATGTGTTGAGCCTCAGCCTTGAAGGAGACAAATTTTCTATTTCCCGCGAAAAGTGTGAATGTTTCTCAACGGAAGACCGGCTCGGCAGCAATCCAAACGCTTTGGGGACCGAGCTCCCCTGTGAAAACTATTGGAGCTTGACGATTTCTCGGGCTGCATGTTCGTTCGATCAGCCTCAGGAAACAATGATTAAGCGCACGCAATAGCATACCGCGGTCCCGAGACTCGGTGTCGCGACTATCCGCTTTTCAAGCGTAGGAATGCAATCAGCTCTTTGATGGATCTCGGCATCGAAATGTAGGTGGCGGCCGTATGATCTATTCGAAGTTCCCAATTCCAGGATGGTTTTTCATCAATTGCACCATCCGTCAGGCGGCCTGATTGGTTGACTGAGAGCGAAAATTACTGACAGACTGTCGGACGTGCGGACAGGCGAGCAGCCTGTCATTCTGTCGGACCCACTGTGTCCGGACTGTCTATGTCTACACGGAATGGGCGTTCTCCGTGTCTGATACGACTGTCTGCATATTGTATCTGCATATTGTGAGCTGAACAGCTTCACGATAAGACGTTACTTTCGCCTGCAGAGAAAGCAGACGCTGGAGCTACATTTCGGAGCCGCGATCTGGTTACATCATCAAGGGCCGCAGGATTTTCGCCAGTAGATCCAGAACTTCACGCCTCCCGCTTCCCATGATTAAGTGGTGGCGAGTTCTGATGAATGCCTTTGAATAGATCTTATGCACAGCTTCACGCAGCCCACGGCTATCGATACAATGCTCATCCTCGAAGCGACGATTCCTTTGGCAAATTGTAAGGAAAGGTACAATAGGCCAGACGGATCGTCTTTAGCGCTCAATTCCAACCGCCCCCGGGCAAGTGTTGAACAATTCATGCGTGTTCAGTGAGTTTTCCACCATGTTCATCGATAGGCGACACGCAGTCACAGAACGCGTTTGAATCTGAAAGTCCACTCACGAGTTTCATCGCTCTTTCGTTTGTTCGTTCGGCCGGTCGATCGTTCATTCGATCCTCTACCTTTCACTGTCCGTGTATCTTCTGAACGAAAGTGAACGCAGGAAAATGGCTGAAGGCACCCCACCTTCGTCCCGCGCGATTAAACACGTCGTCGCGTGAATTCTCATTTGATCCTAGAGACTTGTGGCCAAATGAGAGCTCCTCCTTCACTCGGATACTCGAGAGAATAATTCCAGTTTCATCGAGATAGCCATGGCGAACGCAGCACTCAACGCCTCTTTAGCGAAAGAAGGTGGAAGCTAAGAAGTTTTCTAGACCGAGTCCCATCGTTGCGCAGACAACGCTCGTGATCGAGCTTCGCGCCGAAGCGTTAATCACCAAAGACATCGGCACGGCAACCTCATCGGCGCAAGGTTTCAATTCACCGTTGCGGCGTGATCACGGCAGAACATCGCGCTGTGCCGCGGCACGTCAGAGTGTAATTCCGGATCACCTCTGAGATTCATTCCGTGGCTGATCGACATAGTGATCCGACTTACGCCTTCGAGCTCTTTTGTGGCAAGTGACCGAAAAGTTCAGGGCGACCGAAGATCTAGATGGCAATAATTGAGATTTCAAAGGAGGAGTGCCTGAATAGGCCGCCCAAGCGACAGAACTACCCGTTTCCAAACGGCTCAGGCGTCTTGCCAGGTATACGGATAATAGTTGTCTTGTGACGAGAATTCCCATCACGACGAATTGTCAGTGCGACCGCGATCCGCGCTGGCTGCCACGTGGGTGGCGGATCGAACTTTCGAAAACGTGCTTACGGCAAAATGACTTCTTGTAAAGTTTATTTCGGTCGGGGATACGGTTTCTGGTTCGACCCTCAGAGTCTCTCATCTGTGTCTGTTGTTTGCCTGGGCACAGCAAGTGCTCTCTCGTGAGTGAAATGCTTTCGGAGCTCGTCGACAGCTCTAACATGACTCATGTATGTTAAGGTCACGACGCATCCGTAGAGTCTGGTAGAAAATTTCTGGGGAATGGGCAGCATCTTCATTATCAACACTTTTAAGATCGCCGATTGCTTCAACACTGAAATATTCGCGAAACTCGTGCTTCCCGCGTTCATACTGATGTGAGCTTGTTTCGCTCAGAATAATAGGAGTCCTTTCAGAAGAGCGCGACGTGGAATTGTATTCTCCCGCATGAGAAAGCTCCACACGGTATAACTCTGCCTGTCCGATGTTCAATATTTGAAGAAACCTCAGGCACTCATGATGATTTTGATTACATGTCCAGCAATCATGGCTCGTATTGAGGCGTGAGAACAAACAGATCAGCTCCGATATGCCCATCGCTCCCCGCCATCCGGTACCTGAGACAGCGCGCGGCTGCGAGTTCTCTCGACCGCTTCTCATCCAGATGAGCTATCTGCGACGTCCTGTCTTGTCAAGGCGGGAAGAATATTGAACGGATTTGCCTTTATGCTCTCCAATACGGCTTCATTGTATAAGATTGGGCAGTAATTGATACGACGGTGATGCTTGTCCGATATTGACAATGGCTGAGAGTTGCACTTGGTTCTCATCAATTTTCTTAATGAACTCATTTTGGATCCGTTGCTTCCCGATCACCTGACGTCTATCCCTCACGGTAGCGAACGTTCAATTCTCGTCAGATGCTTTCATGAATCAATCAGCTCCCCATGGCTTCGGATTGCTTGGAAGGCGGAGCATTTGCTCGAGATTCGCGACACCGCAGCTTTATTAAGTTTGCTGAGTCTACCGCTCCAAGCGAAGAAATGAGAATCAGATGAGTGAACATCCCATCGACTAAAGCCACTGACTCGTCTCCGTGTCGGCTAATGAAAAATACAGTGTCCTCTATTCGAGGCTTCATACGAAAACACCGGGACGATACATTAGCTGATCGAGTGCAACGCTTCATTCGGGGTTCCGATTCTTCACATTGATTCAGACGAGAAAAACGCCCGGAGTCTCGCAGAGACAGTCGCACAGAAGACCAATAAATCAGTAGAGCTCCGATAAAACCGAACATTTCGATATTACAAGCATTCTTCAGACTGCTTTGGAACGTTGATATTACAACTCTATTGTTTTCCAAGGTGACATAAAAAAATCCGGACCATGATGTAGCATGTACCTGAGCCCATGGAATTATAGTCTGAACTGTACAACCACAATCGGGATGTCCGGTTTCATCGGAGCTCAACCAGTCATCAGCCTATCTAGCATGGCAGATTTCCGTTCAGAGGCGGGGGGTTTCGTAGTAATCTGGCAGACGCTCGACGTGATTACCATCTATCCGAGGATATTTCGGGTTCGAAGCAAGATAACATTCTCGCGTATTCGAGCGTCAGCGACGCGGTACCGTAGAGTTTCTCGTCCCGCTTCCTCAGGACGGTTGTGAGTCGGCGTCGCCGGCATGTCCCTGGTTCCGGAGAGGATGGCGGTGGTTCGAAAAAGAGAATTTCCAAAAGGTTGACACAATAATTCTCCACTCCAAGAATCCAATGGTGCTTTCTTATCCGCTTCCAAGTCAGACTTCCCTGCCAAGCTTGACCATCACTTTAGGCAAAACCGAAAGCCCAGGGGCTGTTCGTCAGCGAGCTCGCCCCCAGAAATGCCTCGTGTATGGAATGAGATGTTCAGCCCTTTATCGAGATTCGACTTCCAGACTGGAAACATGGATGTCAATACTACAGTCACATACTGTAAGAACGAGCGACTTAGTTTCTCAGTCGAAATTGCCGCCTCTGAGCAGTCATGCGAATTGCGTGACTCGAAGCGACCCCGCACGACTCGATTCTTTAGTTCTTTGGAAGTCGAATCGCGGGATTCAAGTAACGGATGAGGCTGCGCTCCTAAACCGGAAAACAAAAACTCATTTCCGCGTTCCATGTGTTCGAGTCGGTGCAGCAAGGCTGATCTGCGGACAGGGGCGTACGC